TATAACATTCTGAAAATTTGAAGAGATTTCAATTAAAATTAGGGGTACCTCCCATACAACATTTTCAATTGGCTCAAAAACGAATATTTTGTATGGGAGGTACTCTTAATTTTAGTTGAAATTTCTCCAAACCCTCCGAATGTTATTTGTAAAAAAAATAACCTGCGCAAAGTTTAACGCCATTAAGGTAGTATACAGACATGGCTCCCATACAAAAATCCAAATTTTTTGTGACTTTAGTTATGAAAAGTGTTTCAAAAATAATTTTTATGGCAAAATTAACATCAGATATATTTTTATAGTATTTTGTTAGAAAATAGAATACTTTCAAATGGTTTCATCATGAAAGTGTGAAAAATCTTTTCTCGGGTACTTCTGCTATTAAATTAAAGAATATTTTGTTGCCAAAGTTGAAACATATTTTTTGGTCTCGAACTTTACGCCGCTTGAAAGGCTTGAAAAATCGAAAAAATATTATTTTGAACTTTCTTAATAAAATACGCAACTACCACCGTGCGGAAAAGTTCGTCTTACTCCCGTAAGACTCTTTATTTTTTATTATGACAGCACAATTATCATAAAATGTTCAAGTCAAACTCTCATCATCGGAGAAGTAGTTGATCTCATAATCTTATTAGATTGATACAAATTTCCGTGGGAGAAAGTCGGTGGTATAGTACCATTTATTGACTTACTTGAAGATCAAAATATTTATTTAAGTGTAACTTTGTGTTCGCGAGAGTGGCAGCAACAACAAGAAAATCATCATGAATACATAATGCGAAGACAAACAATAATAATCATCAATTTGCCGTAAAGCTCTTAGACAGCTACTTTCTCACAAAACTAAGTCGTAATCAACGAAATTAAAATCAGTCCTAGCGCACAGATTTTGTCTCTTCACATATCTACATGATGCGGAGAGCAAGCCCTTCCATCCACCAAGTCCATTACTTTTGATTATTATTTTAATCATTTTAAAATGAGAAAATATGAAAATAACGATATGAAATGAAATGGAGAACAAAGGGAAAAATAAATAAGATGAAAAGTGGTGTAACAGCACGAGAGAAAAAAAAATGTAATATGTGTGTAATGAATACGACAAAAATTATATTGAACATTGCATGAACGATTGAATGTGTGTTTGTGGGCTTGACGGCGCATATCTGTATATCGACACAATAATAATGTAATAGTCGAAAATCGTATTTCCAAAGAATCACAAAAGAAAATAGCGCATTTTTTTTTTTGGTCACAAAGCGCATGTAAACAGCACTGGAAAAGCGAGCGAGAGATATTGGCCGAAAGAGGCAGCAAGCACGAGAGAAACGAAAACAAGAGATACATAAAGAAAAAATAAACCGAAAAAAATGAATATGAGAATTACACAGCGCCTGCGGCAAATAATGTAAAGTCAAAATGTGAAAAGATCGATCTTACGGATTAAAGAAGTCGGTACACACAACCACAGCACATACACACATATTGCATGAATTCACGTACGCTCTTGTTTGTTGGAATGTGATTTTAAAGCGAACTAGCGTGAGATATTACTTATTATTGTTCATGTATATTTGTATGGTTCGGTTGTTGTACGCTTGTTGCGTTCCATCGGCGAAATATCAACCGTAACCGTGGGAATTGAACAGTAGTTGTTTAACGTTAAATTGCTGTGGCAAGGCGGAGTTATGAACTTATTGCCTTTGCATTCGGAAATTTCATTCCGTTCTTCACAATTTTTGAGTAAATTTTTGGTGTGCTTATGCAAAGATTTCTTTTCTACCCGGTGCTTTGTTTGTTGTTGCAAAGTCTTTGCACTCGAAAATTGCTGAAACGAATATCTCCCTCTCTCTCTCTCGCCCGTTCGCTCGTCTTCACTCGCAAGATGCTCTCCTTTGATGTACTTGTTCTTTCTGCTGAGATGGTATTCATTAATTTATTCATTCCATTGGTTGGATTGCGTGCAATGAGACCGAAATGGCAACAATGAATATTTATTAGCGAGTAAGTATTTACAAAAGAATATATATATTAAGATATAAAATAAATATGGGCATTCTTGTGATTTTTCACGTGCAATATTGCTTGCTATTGTTTTCTTCAGCCTTTTGTCATGGCTTTTAGGTAGATGGAAAACCGATGAAGCCCCGATGAATAAGAAGAGGCATGAAGAGAGAGAGAAAAGAAGAAAAAAAAGTCATACAGATTCGTGCTTCAATCGTTCGGTGTTCAATGTGTACAAAACCCCACCTTAATTATTCAAGTATTGAATATTACCTTCCAATAATATGCGGTAAACTTATCAATGATCGTGAATCAATGAAAGCTAAAGAAACGAAATAAAAGAAAAATCAAACGCTCAATCCATGCGTTGTTCCCTTCTCACGAACTCGAAGACAAGCAAGAAAAACATGATCAACAATGAACGCAATACAATAACAACAACTAGAGATAAAATGTGATAAAATTAAATTTTCCAATACTTCAAGTCAGTTAGTCATTTTATGTGTGCGTTTTTGTGTGTATGTGTATTTGTGTCAGCGATGACGCGGTCTGAACAATTCATTCTCAATCATCAATTTGTTGTTGTTCGTTTCGGTTTTCCATTCATCGTTGCTTTTCTTGATGTCACCGCCTGTGTGACGTGCGCATACAGCACACACAAACACACCGAATTCGTATGTAATTTATTTCGTGTATTGAACGTTTGCCGAAAGTATGTGCGCGCATCGACACAATCCCGAGATAGACTCATCACACCACACACAGACTTGCCCCGAAAAAATGAGAGAGAGACATAACGTCCGATAGACGATGACGACGGCACATAAATGATAAAAAAAAGAATTACATGTATCACACAATCCCATCGGTTTTGTACAAATCAAATGCAGTGAACGCCGTATTAAAATAGAGAGATCTTCAAAAAGTTCTTCTTCAGACCATTTCACACAAACTTGTTAGCGAATAGCACTCTATCATTTTCGTTCACCTCTCTTCGTAGCTATTATTTTATTGAAAATAAATTAGTCAATCGATCGAACATAATATAATGGCAATGAAAAATCTATCGACGATGTTGGTGCGGCAATCAAGTTTAAGGCAAATCATTCATTTGGCTTTCTGTCTCCGTCCGTCTCTCTCTCTCTCACACTCTCTATCTGTGGCATGGGAATTTCGCTACAGGCTTCTTGTTTTTGAGCTAATCAACGCTTGTGCATCTCTAAAAACGACAAACTTATTGAAAAAATCTTCAAAGACTCTTGTCTTTTTTGCTCTCAAAATTTATGCAGTCTTAATAGCATCCACGGCTCATAAAAAACATGTCGTTTTCGGAATTATTTTTTTTTTTCGACATTCATAACATCATTCTTCCTGGTTGTTTGCATTGAATAAAACTGCATAAATCCATTTGTAATTAGGGGAATGTTTCATTTTTTTTTCTGCTGCTCTGCTGGGTGTTGAGATCCGTTTTTCTCACTGCGGTCATTTTTTTTGTTGGGTGTGCTGTGCGAACCGAATGTTAAGATAAATGTTAAGACAACTGAATTGCTTCCTCAGTTTCAACGTTTTGTTGTTTAAATCGTACGGGCACACCAAAGTGGGCCGGTCGCAAAACGTACGATTTCAAAAGCATATGAGTTATCATCATAATTATCCTTTAAGGCAAATGAAACAAAACAAAAAAAAATTACACGAAACAAAAAATTATACCAAAAGATGAAATGCCGATTTGAAATGAGCTAATGTGCAGAAGCAGAATTCACTTTGAACTTTTCGCAAGTCGGCAGTTGATATGGCCAGTTTTAGCGCCTATGTTTTAATTTAGTCTTTTTTTTGTTTGGGTTTCTTTTTGTTTTTTTAATGATATTTTATATTTTCTCAAAACCATTTGTAATGCGTTTTCGTGCGTTTAACAGCCCCGAAAAATAAGAACACGATGACTTCCTCTCAGACATTGTATTGTTTTATTTATGTAGTAACAACCATAAAATTGCACATTTTGTTGTTTTTTTTTTCTCGGCGTTTGGTGTTGACGGTGAAATCGTCTAACCACTTGTTATATAACTAAAAAGTTTTAACACATTGATTATAGTTGGTGTTTATGGTTGGTTTTGGGACTGTCCTATGAACACAAAACCAAAAAACATTACAATTATTGAAAAGAATAAGAAAGATAAACGCCAAAGTCAATATAAAAATGTTTCTGTTTACTTATTAAACCTACCGCAATTCAATTTATGATAATATTTTGCGGCGCTCGATTTTTTCTTCTTCTCTTTAAGCCAATAGAAAGAAAAACACGTTCGAAGGTGTGTTTTGACTCGTTTTATTTTGAAAATTGATTGACCGAAAACGGTTTCTTTCATTTCAAAAGATACATTTCGTTTCGGTATAGGCGAATGAAAATAGTGTTTGTTGTCTGCTAATAAAAGATTTTTATGAATGAGACCACTTGACGTTCCAAAAATAATAATATTGCTGATAAAATGTTAAGTATTTCGGCGACTTTGATTCTTATCTATTCCTGCCATTAATTTCAGACAAAAATGAAAATGTGTATCATTTTTATCATACCGATGAGCCGTTGCATTCCACCGAATTCCAAACAATCCTTTGCCTAAATTCTCAAATGATCCCAAGCAAATAAAGATTATACTTTCGTGGGAAGAAACCAAAAAAATGCTACCTCGCATGATAAGGAAAAAAATATTGAATTGCCGTCAATTCAAATTAAAACAACAAGCTTTTTGATCGTAATCTCCGTGGTATGACGTGAAAAAATCTTGTGAATTCACGTTCGAATGTGAACCATTCACAATATGTGTTGAACAATTCAAAATTTCCCGGTCGTTGCGTTGTGAATATGTTACATGGGACGAAGTGTCAAAGCATATGACAAGAGTCCACATCGGGGCACACTGTACGACAATGACAAGTGGCTGAGAAAGAGAAAAAAAAAGTCGAATTAGAGCGAAATTTTGCATTTGTTTGACCTAAGAAGACAGTCGTAAGGTCGCTACAACACACTGCTTTTGGCAGGCAGCTCGTCAAGTTTTGTATTTTATTTTCGCTTCACACGATTCAAACTTTGAATTCCAACATAGTCCGTGTATTTAATTAAATATACACTATAAAAAGTTTACCAAATTCAATTTGATTTCCGTCGATTGTAAAACGAATTCCGAAGAAAAATGTTGCGAACGATTGTTGCACGAAACGAAAATCTTCTCCGTGGCTCAGTGAAAAAGGCCATCAAATTGAATACGGTTCGTGGTCTAAGCTACCGATGTGTCGAACGACTTTCAGCACACAGGTGAGAGGCATTTTTTGCAATCAACACAGTTCTGGTGATTCGGTTCAGTTCAGTTGAAGGGAATTAAAATTTCACTGAGAAAATGAAAATTGCATAGCTTTGAGGTTATGAGTGATTGTGTAATCAAAATCAGAAGTACAGTGCAGTGTGTAAACGTCAGAAATTTGTCGTGCTTTTTTCGCTTTATATATATTGCATATGTACATACGAGAGAATCGAAAATGACGTTCCAAATGATGATTGTATGGGGTTTAAAAAATTCATGCACTGTATTGGGCTCTCTCTCTTTCTCTTTCTCTCTCGTACAACTCTATGGCAATCGTAGTTGTTTATCTAGTTGATGACGTAAATCATGTTAAGGCGCCTGTGAAACGTTGACGTTCAAACACATGTGATTCTCTCAATTGATCGATTGAATTGTCAGAATCGTTTTGCAATATATCTATCGGGTGGAGATGGTGCAAATGAAAAAAAAATCTCAGTTTTTTGAACTCTTATTGAACTCGTCGTAAATTGTGAACTATGATTTAAAAAATGACTATGACATTGTATATACCATTCATAATACGACAGATACTGAATTGAATTTTATGTATCAGAAGCCACATAACGTAAAATCAATCTTCAGTTTAAATGAAAACTATATAATTAAACAAGCGATTGCCTTTTAAATTTTACTGAACATTAATTTCCCATTGAATCGTTCAATGCAACGCAGTCATTAACTTTGTCGAACGATTCGTATGCGAGTCATTTATATTTCACCTTGGCAACTATAAGTGATTATGTAAAACATTATGCCGTATATATTCTTATCAGTTTAGAATTTGTGATGAGGAAAAGCGAATGACGTGATTTTTTTTTATTTCGTTCCAATTTTGTTCCATATAGAACTGCTTCAGGGATAAGTCAAAGTCGAAATCTGCAGCCATCAGTATGGAAGGTCGATTTTTGCCGTGGCTATTGCAGCAATCTTCCATCACATACCAGAGTTACATTGCCAGCATTGTCACCAACCATGGAAGCAGGCACAATTGTGAGCTGGGAGAAAAAAGAAGGCGACAAATTGAACGAAGGTACGTGTGAATTGTGTTTGACAACAAAATGTCCTTGACATCCATTCAATAACGCTATGAATGCATATGACCGAAGCGTGTGATAAGACGTGAGTGAAGTGATGCGTGCCTGTATGTATTCTTATCACCACATGAAGTCGTTGTGCGATATTTGTACGATCGAATCAACACTCTCATTGAACATCATTCATGTTGTTATGTAATCAAAATACGTGTTTTTTTCGATATGGGTGCGCAAAACAGGTGATTTGTTGGCGGAAATCGAAACGGACAAAGCGACCATGGGATTTGAAACACCGGAAGAAGGATACTTGGCCAAAATTATAATACAAGCCGGCGAAAAGGATGTACCAATTGGTAAACTGGTGTGCATCATTGTTGAAAACGAAGACGATGTCGCTGCATTCAAAGACTTCAAAGACACCGGTATGCATTCAATAAATATCTATCGCGTGAGAGAATTTTATTTACAAAGATAATTGTGTATTTTAGGTGCCCCTGCTGCAAAACCAGCCGCTGCCACCCCACCACCGGCCGCTGCTGCTCCACCAACACCAACTCCACCACCAGTTGCGGCTGCACCACCAACACCACAAGCCCCACGACCAATGACCGCTGTCGAACAACGTGGCCCACGAGTCTATGCTAGTCCAATGGCAAAACGTCTGGCCGAAGCACAACAATTGCGATTGGAAGGCCAAGGAAGCGGCGCTTACGGATCAATTACAAGCAAAGATCTTGACTCATTGTCAAGCGGAGCGGCTGCACCAGCACCGGTTTCAATGCCAGCGGGTGCTGCCTATGTCGATATCCCAGTATCAAATACACGCGCTATCATTGCCAAACGTTTGTTGGAATCGAAAGTCACAATTCCACATTACTACTTGACCGTTGATGTTAATGTGGACAAAGTAAGTTATTTTAATTTCTTTTATATTGAGGACTTATGTTAAACTAATTTTCAATTTAAAATGTTTAGCTATCAAAACTTCGCGCAGAATTCAACAAACAATTGGAAAAGGAAGGTGTTAAATTGTCATTCAATGACTTTGTTATTAAGGCTACCGCTTTGGCATCAAAGAAAGTGCCAGAAGCCAACTCATCATGGCACGGAAGCTTCATTCGACAGTAAGCATTTGAAATCGAAAACCGGTTTTCATAAATTATTAACGCAAATCTCTTCTATTTATAGATACGATTCCGTCGATTGTTCAGTTGCTGTTGCAACTGATAAGGGTTTGATTACACCAATTATTGCTCAAGCCGATCGCAAGGGATTAGTTGATATTAACAAATCGATAAAAGATTTGGCTGCCAGAGCCCGTGAAGGAAAATTGCAACCTCATGAGTTCCAAGGCGGTACCATCACGGTATCAAACCTCGGAATGTTCGGTAAGTTTTTTTTTTTGTTCATTTCGTTTGGTAATTAGTGTTTGATGGCCTTCAATCAATAACACAATTTTTTTTAAATTGTTTCTTTTTTGTTAGGCGTTACACACTTCTGCGCTGTCATCAATCCACCACAATCGTGTATTTTGGCCGTTGGTGGAACACAACAAAGAATTGTACCAGACAAAGATTCGGAGAAAGGATTCAAACAAAACGACTTTATTTCAGTTACATTAAGCTGTGATCATCGCACAGTCGATGGTGCTGTCGGTGCTCGTTGGTTGCAATGGTTCCAAAAATTCTTGGAAAACCCACACTCGATGCTTTTATAAATGCGCGACGTAAATATTGACATTTTAATGTAAAATAAATACACGAAAAAAATAAACACAAAACCAAACTGATCGTTCGAAAAATAAATATTTATTGTATTTAATTTTTGATCACGGTCAATTAGCCAATTAAATTAAAACCAGACGCATATGGTATAATTCATCTGTTACCGAATCTTTGAGCATCGCTTCAATATATCTTGTGTAAATAAAAAGAAATAGGCAATTACGTAATTGATGTATATTAACAACGAAAACATTTTTTTGTTTTGACATCGATGTTTCGCTGTCGCAAAATTCAAGAATTATATTTATTGTTTGTTGTACAAGATCTTTTTTTTTTTTGTTTTTCATATTTGTTTTCTTCATTTGTAAAATGAATCGAATAAAATCCCAATGCCATCTTTAAAATGAACTAGGAATTATATTTCAAAATAAATGTCATTCACTGAAAATGCATATAATAAAATACGAACTATGTACAAATGGGTTTTGCTTTGAATTTTTTATTATTGTTTAAATTGATAAAAGTACAGGTGAAGGATGTGTAAAATTAAACTGACTGACTAACTGGCTAGTTTAAATAAATCTGTCCATAATTGTATATAATATTGTCCTGTTCAATTTCATATAAAGCAACGATAATTGCTTCGTTCAAAATGTTTGCGAAAAAATGTTCTCTATTCGTTCGCGTTGGTATGGCTAATGGTACACCAGTAACCAATGGTGAATTGAAGTCACTGTACATATCAAATGCAAATGCACATCGATTGTGATGATCGTCCAAATCTATTCCATTGATGAAAGCACCAGCTAAATTTCTTCTCATTGCAAATCTCATCTTGTTTGCAATCACACGGCTACTTTCGATTAAAAAACCATGATCTTGTTTCATATTCATTGCAACTCCTACACCAAATTCAGAATTATAGGTAATCTTGTAATGCTTATATAGTATTTTGCTACAAATATAATTGCTATCGCATTCAGAGGAATGGACAAGTTCTAAATTCTGATCGAAGTGCATTTCAAGACCTTCAAAACGTGTTTCAATTAGAATTTTTGTTGGTGGCACTCCCAATTCGATTGACTTATCAATGACGTACTCAAGATCATGGATGTTACGATATTTCAACGCATCTTGGAAACTATTCGGCTGCTTATTGGCCGGCAATTGGAAATGTATAAAATTAAAATATTCTTCTATGGCCTTCTTCTATTAATCAAATGTGGTGGGACTGGATTCTTTGGATGACAACACTGTCAAGGTCAATAATAGCTGCCATTCATCAAGTTTTTCTTTGAGCTCCTTCAAAAACGCAGTGTGCCAATTAACACAGGCCAAGTAAGTGCAATGAAAACTATAAATTTATTGAAAATGAAACTAGAATCACTCGCAGCGAAATCAATGGAATTGGATATGTGAGATATTTTAAAAATTATTCAGTGGTTTGAAAGTAAAAAGCAAAAAAATATCTCAGATTTTAATTGTTGTATTATTAAGTGCTTATTTAAGTGCTTTTTTGTGAAATATCTGGGATATATATTTATCTAGTTTGATTATATGGTCAAAATAAAGCTAACTTACATATATTTCATGTGCAATCCATCAAATTTATGCTGCACGAGAAAATCGAAGGCTTTTTGAATAAAAATAGTACGTTTTTCTTGGTCTAGTTTGAAATAGTAGTCGTCAAATTGCTGGATTCCCAACGAGATCTATCCATTGAAAATTGGAGTTAAATTGATTTAAAATAACTTTTAAATAGTCTCACTTTACCTTCAAATGTGGATACATTTGTTGCAACTCTGTAGCATTCATATATAGTGTTGGTTCATATCTGCCGGTTTCATTATCCCAAGGAACTACACGCATTGAAAGAAAGACAGTTCTATTAATATTTGTTTACATAAATAAAGTGTATAAAGCTGACAGCGATAAACATAATAAATAAAAGAAAGATTTTTTAATATTTTTGTTTGATTAATTTCGAATACCATAAGCATAGTAAAAACAATGCGACATTATTGAAAATTGCTTCTCGTGAAATAAAACATACCCAAACTATCGTATGATAAAATGAGGTGCGTGCATAGACTTAATTCTGTCCTATCTCCTGCTTCTCTAGCATCCCATGGATCGGCGAGACACATGACCACTTTGCCATGGTATGGACCTAATATCAATTATAATTATACTAATTAATCCACTCCGATACTTTAACAGATTAAGGGGGTGTCTTTTCGCAGACATACACTTCATGCAAGTTTTCAATTCATTAATGCATTCAATTCATCTGCTAAAATATTAAATGTTGTAAGATAATTAAACATTTTTATTTTGTTTCACGTTAATCCTTCGTTCGATTTATCAATTCAGTTAATTTAAATACTGAATTATTGGAAATAAAACTAAATTTTAGTACGGCGTTGCGTAAATATTTTTGCACTAATGTACAAAATCACATTCCATTGTAAGATTTAAAAAAAAAACGAATACCAGTGGTCGTGGCGGCTGCCATAATACTTGTAACGGACAGCAGTAAAATCAAACGCATCATTATTGCATTTGTGAAAAGATTAGAAGAGCTGGAATATTTAATTGATTTACTCTTTAAAAAAAAAATATTTTGATTGGCTTTCAAAAGCTGCTCAAGCACTCACATCTTACTGTTAGACCGGGGTTTTGACACAAAAACACAAAATACAAGCACATGCATGTCTGTACTTTGTATACTCTTCTTGCTTTGCGTCTTATTCATAATTTCCCTTTTTCATCTTTCTGCTATGTAGCTGGCATAGCAGCCTTTGCCAAAATGTATGCAAATTGATGGAAAGGGGAATAAAGAATAAGATGCAAAGCAGGATCGTGTTTTCGTAACTGAAGTACGGTGTCAAAACCTGGGACGAACAGTGCAATTTGAGTGCTTGCATAATTTAATTTCAATTCACAAATATTTTCACTCTCGATAGTTCGCACACAAGCTCTAAAATGTAACTAAATTCCAAATATCCAGCCAAAATGGATGATAGCAAATCTTTACGAGGTTGAAATATATTAGAAAAGGACCAATATATAGAATACCAAGTTCTTTTTTGTGTGAGGTAGTTTGTCTTACATTTCCTTTGTAATTCAATATAGTTACAAAAAACATTTACGACTGGGCGATCATTTGGGCAAATAATAATGGAAATAATGCAGATGCCAGCAGCAGAACGCAGTAGAATAAGACAATAAAACGAAAATAAAATAGCAACAGTGGACTGTGTTTTGTATTTTGTATCGAACTTAACCTTACCTATATATATTGCTTAAAGATGAATAAAAACAATGAAAACCAGTGTGAACATCTTACATATTTTGCTCACAATGTTGAAATTTCTGTATTTTTTCCATTCTTTCGGACTTCGAAATTTTTTTTCTACTAGATTTTTTGTGTATAATCTTCACTTTTTTCTTTATTATCCCATGCCAAATGAAATAGATAAAAACAGAGTCAAAAAGTAAGAAATATTGCAGTAAATATACTGAATGTAATGGTTCATGATTTTGAGCAAAATTAGATATTTATTAACTACCGTGAACGTAACGCAATTACGTAAATTAGAAATGATATTTCAAACTGAAAATGTCATTCACAGAAAATGCATATAATAAAATATGAAATATTTTTTTCCTTTGAGCTTTATATTATTTGGTTTAGATATTAAAATCGTATCTCCACTTAAAATTAATCATGCACAAAAAATCGTGGAAAAATCTCGATTTCAAATTCTTTTTATATATTTTCGAAAATGATTATAATTATCGAGCAAAGGGACAACAATAAACGATCATTCTATTTAAGTGTTCAAATTATATCTGCTATATAAAGCCTGACAAACGAATTTGCTTCATAAGTAGTTCCAATTTCAAACGTTGAAAGTGAAATAGAGTGTCTAAAAAATAATAAAGATCACAAAATTCCATCATGATTGCAAAGGAATTTGTTCGAATAAGTTTTATCGTCGTTTTACTCGCAATAACAGCACCCGTTCAATCTATCGTTAGTTTGCGATTTATTCGAATTGAATATCAAATAATAAATTTGTCTTGAAAAAACGATGAACAATAATTTTTGTTTCAGAAAGTGAATATTACCAAATTTGGAAATTGTGATATGCTGGATCCAAGCGAAAATATGGCACATTTCGTACGCATGAGTGATATTTCTTATGAATGCGATGCCGATGGCTATTGTGACACTATACATGCTAAATATAATATACCAACGATTAACACTGCGGATAAATTAGTAAAATATTATATTAAATTATAAAATGTCGATATCGCTGTTTAACAGAAGATCTCCAATATTTTAAGATGAACATTACCATGATGAGATGCAAAGCGAGTGGCAGTGAGCCGTGTGATGAAAATCCCGAACATTTTTATGAAATTTTGCATTGCGAACGGTTTCATAAAGACGAAAGCGGTCCATGGTTCATGATTTCAGATGGTATGCAAGCGGCCAAATGCGGCGAAATGACGGTAATAACTTTGAATACTAAAAAATGCTTCTTTTTTCTAGGGGGTAGACACCTATGAATCCAGTGTGAATTATTTGATTTCTATGAAATCTTTGACTCTTGCGATTTCGGTGATTTCTCGATTCCAAACCTCAATATTGGACATAAAATACACTTATATACAAAGCTAATTTCACTGTGGTAGTGTGCGCCTATAGTAGAAGTCGCACACATAGTGTGTGTGCGGTACAATATACACAACATTTGACAGAAATCAAAGAAATCACAAAAATTGAATTCTGAGATTTCTGTGATTTTAATGATTTTTGTGATTTCTGTGAGTTTTGATTCCACGTGTCTACCCCCTAGTCTTTTTTACATTCAAAATGAACATATTACACTTTTACATAATAATTAAATATAATACAGGGGACTTTTGAATTGAAAAATGCAAAACTAAAGCCGGAATATCTGACAAATTATATGGTTCATGATGTTGATTTCCCGCGCCACCGAATGATCCATATGGTTCGTAAAGCTATCGAAGGAAGTGATGAGGTACCTATTCGGGCTTGCATTGACATGGAATTTAATATCATATTCCAATGACTTGGCACTCAATGTGTCAATGGGTTGCAATCAAGGTAATCGCATTGAAAAGCCAAATAGTTTCATGTGAAATAAAGCACTTCAATGTTATTTGTTTCAATTTGTTTTATTTATATTTCATTTCATTTCATGTCCTTGTCACTTTTCAATCTCTATCTTAGAAAAGATATGTAAAAAACATTTTGTTATATAGATCAACGTTATTTAAATTTGCTTTTAGTTGTATTTTTGTTGTTGTTGTTGCTGTTATAGTTTCGGATGTAATAATTAAATAATGGACTAAGTACTCGACTTAAAGTAATTATCGCATTCGATTCAACGTTTCTTTCACTACGTTGATGCCAAATGAACGAAAATGTTGAAAAAAGTAGGTTGCTTAGAATTGGTTCGCTCTAATCAACAGAACGATAAAGATAGATAGATGATGTCAGTTTGTTTTTATGTTTAAATACAACAAGTTTTAACGTTTTCCATTTATGTGGTGAACTTTCGTTTTTTTTTTTTGTTTTGGTGATGAAACTTTGGACACAAAGTGATACGTCGTATTTTGCCCAAAAACTAATAGCGGTGAATGACAAGTAAATTAAATTAATTCAATAGGGAAAGCAAAAAAGCCATTTATAAAGTGAGGTGGATTTAAATCGGGGCAATCACTTTGTGTCCAAATTTATACGATTCGTGCATGTTTGAGATGTATATTACGTAGGCCACTTGATTTTTGTCATTTTTTATGCGTCCAAATCATACACGTAAAGGACTTCACGGTTGTTAATGCCAGCCGTATTGATTTGAACCTCAGATGATTCGGTTTCAAGTGTTCGTTTGGGGAAGTTGGTCGCTATCGCAAACTGATCCGGTGACTGCGGATGACAAAAGACATATGTATGCAAATCCTGTATAAAGAAGAAACATAGAATTAAATGAATGTGAATGAACAATCAGCCAAATGATTTACATACTTTTAACATATCGGAGCGACGGAATCGTCGTTCAAGTCGTGTTCCATTTGGTAAAATGAATAACAACAATATGGCGTCAGAATCATTTGAATCCGGTTCAGCTGGCACTTCTAATGCTCGGTCAATCTTTTGTCGAGCGATGTCCTATTGAATATTTAACAAAAAACAAAAATATTTTACAAAATATTCGAAAAAAAAATGTCCGATTGAATGTTACCTCTTTCTGACGTTGTTTTTCCAAACGTTCAGCTTCTTCTTGCAATTGTTGCTGCAACAATCGTTCCTTTTCCAATTGTTTTAAACGTTCTTTTTCTTGATCAGCTCGGAGTGACAATTCGTAAGCTTCATCTTGCTGTTGTCTGAGATCTTGCACGAATTTTCTTTCGAAACTGTGAATTGAGATGAAAAAAACCAATTTAATTTAAATCACATCATCTAAATAAAGATGCAAACACCGTAAAAATGATAAAACATTGAAAGTTTTCTTACCGTTCATTCCGTTCCTGTGTCATCCAAATTTTGTTATCATTCACAACAGATTGAAGTCGTCTAACAAATTCGGTTGCTGAGCAATGGCCTTCCATACGTCCCATGATGACCATTTTATGCTCTCGCACACCAATAATAGTAACAGCTGGACACGATCGTACACTAATCGAATGTGATACCCGATAACCTTCTGGGGTTGAGATGTCGCATGCCCAAAATAGCATGCCATTGGTGTTAATGAATTCAAGTACCTCTGGATCTGCCAGAGTATTACGGCAGAAATTAGCCGTTTCGGAGCTACTTTCGGAATGTAAGTAAACGGCCAAAAATTTCAATTCGTGTTTTGCATCGTTCAACACCTGCGAATAGGTTCCTTGATAAAACACTGGATGGTTTGGATATTTTTCATTATAGTCTCGAATAAAATTTAATACGTCTGCTAATGGATCTGTAACAACTGCTGTAAATTTAGAAAAAAGTAAAAATTATAAATATATAAATGTCAATGGCAGCACGTCAATGAAACTTACTTCGATCATTTCCGCGTACAACTAAATCACGTAGTACTGACAAAATCGACGATAATGTATTATAGCAAAAGCTAAATACATAATTAAAGAAAAAACCTATGAAGCCAGTGAATCCGTGCGGTGGTACTGGTGCACGATTGTTAACAAACACTCGTTGTAAATAACGATCGTTAATTACTTGTGGTTCTCTATTATCTATTGACGATGCATAAATTGACGGTCGTCCCTCTCGCAAATTTAGCTGCTCTTGTATTGCCACTTCGAGATCCCATTGATGTCGATTCAATATTTCACGACACGCTATAATGTCATCAATACCAATCAAATCCTGGAATTGTAACACTTTTTCTGTTTGGTTCTGTGACAGGCCGTCGAGACCATCATTATCCATGTTTAAATCACAAAAAATTCCCTATCAAAAACAAAATCAATTCACAAATTAATGCCGAACGCAATAAATCCGATAAAATAAATGAAAATTCCCGTCAAATGTGACACATTGTATGTAATTGTCTTCAAAATGTGACGTCACATACCGAATGGAGTTTCTATTTAATTCTCTTTTTAACTCAAAATTCATACTTACTTTGGCCAAATGTATTTACAGAGAGCTGAACAGTTTTTGTTTTCCAACCTGTTCGTCACACAAATTTTACTGTACTGGATGTAAGGAGGGTAACTTCGAACAATTTCTGTAAATTAGCGTTTTGTCTTAGAGAAATTTGGTTCTTCTTTGTATCTAAAAAGGCGAAGACTAATGATGTGTTGCTGAAGTCAATCTATTATTGCCCATCTACTGTCAGATGTTTCCACAAATTAAACACTTTCAGTTGGTCACACTGCAGTGTGATGAAAGCGCGATTACAAATACAATTTTGATATGAATTGCGTATACATTTTTTACGAAATAAAATAAGACGCAAAATATTGTGGTATCATATTTCAAATGCCAAAATTCGATGTGGTGAAATTAATTCAAAGGGTTTTCTATTTGGTGTTTTTTTATGGAATATAATTCTATTTGTGAAATACAATTGACGTTCGCAAGAGACATCTGGCGGAGATTTTTGCATACGGCAGTGATATCAAAAGTGGAGACATTGCTGCTAACGATATCATTGATGATGTGACAGACATGAACATAAACAAAACAACAACAAAAAATAAATAAATATGTTCTTAATGACTTCAATGTTCTAATGTTTATGAACAAAGTCCAGCAACAGATTTTCACGACCAAAGTACAAAAATGTATGAAAATTTCACAATAATTTTGATTAAAAAACAGAAAACTTCGATCATTTTATATGTTTTCTATGTATGCCTTCCTTTATTACTTGATCTTCATGTTAATAAATTATGTTCCATATAAATACAAATATTTAAGCGCTACCGATTGGTTTCAAATGGAAAATGTCACAATGTTACAGAGAATCTTCAGATTACTTAAAATTTCGATGGACACTGACATGTTGATACAATGTAATATGACTAGAATTTCAAGTTTTATCAACTGAATCAAGACAGTTGAGCGATGAAGAACAAATCTCTGCATTGAAAATTTAACTAAAATAAACTATAACGTTAATCAGTCGTTGTTTAAAACTAAACATCCTAATCCGCCGAACAAATTAGTATGTTTTTGCTTCATATTAAAATATCCTTTGCTGCGCTGATATTAATCGGTGGAAGGTAAATGGCACGGATTTGCGAACGTAGTCTGGCAATTTCAGCGTCGTCTTTCTCTAAATCCCGAATCAATTGTTCGAACTGAATTAAACCCTCTCGAGTGGCTGGGAAACCGTAGTTTTTAATAATATCCATTTGAATTTGCATCAAAATCGGAAAGACTAAATGCATCATTTGCAACATTTCCTTTCCGGCTGCCGCTTTTGCTTCAGACAAACGCTTCGAATTATCCGGATGATTACACGTTTTTATGATGTCACCGAGAATCGTTTTACCCGCTTCGTTGTTAAAATTAGCAAAATACGACATTTTCACCGAGAAATTTTGAAAATTTTCACCAAATTTTATTTGTTTTCGATGCTGTTGTATTTCACACTGTTTACAGACCGAACACTGTCAACTTGAAATGTCAAATTGGTTTCATGTGTAAAATCTCCACAATGGATTTTTATTGTGAATGATATTAAATTTGCTATAAATTATTGCAAATGCGTATTTATTTTGTTTTTTTGGAGGGTGGGAAAGGGAGAAGTAATAATAATAATCTCATATGAGCAAATATGTAATTTTGTTGTTTTTTGAAACCAATTCCAACTGCCAAAAGTCACAATCGTGACTTTTTACATTTGATTCAATCGAAAATTACCGTTAATCCCAATCAAAGTTAATGTTTTTCTAGAATAATTCAAAAATATTCTAAATGAGTTGTCATTAAAAGGTTTTAAATTGAACGGAAACTCATCGAAATGAGTGCGGAAGACATCAAAGGATCGTCTAATCACCTACATTTATTTCATATATATCAAAAAAATCTGTTTATTAAGCAATTTCTTGTTTCTTTCAAACACACTGCCGTTATTTCGCTGCATTATTATTATAAACGCACAAAAACCCCGTCTTTACTATTCTGAACGCTCTATGGGACAGTTTTTGTTGTCATTTTGGTGTGGAGGAGGGGAGACTGTGAGAGATTTTTGATTAAGATATGTTTCTCTTCATGAGTTCATGATGATTTCATTAATCATCATTTTATGCTGCTTTCAATGTAATGAACGATTGTCTCAGAATGTTGATGGGGCGTGCGCGGGGGGAATGGTAATGTGATAATCTTTCGTCGTTGTGATAAGTATCGCATTACGTTTATTTGTCAGTTTCATTTGCACCTTTGTATCGAGCTTATGAGAAAAAACAAGCACAAAGCATAAAAATAAAGTGCTTTTGTCTGCTGGAGCCTGAGTATGATGACAACGAGACACACTGGCTATGTGCATGCCGAGCAGTGAGTTGCATTGAACAAACAGACAAGAAAGAAAAAAAAATTTCACCGGCAAAAATACCGAATACGAGAAACCATACGCCAAAGAAAATCTATGTTTGCAACGTTACAGCACCGATACTCCATATATTCCGTATTTGAATTGCATACAATGTGTTTGCAAACGCGTTACAACAATTCGCCGTAGTAGAACTTTAATGAAAACATTCGACATTATAGTCACGTTTTTCATTAGCCAAGTTTTCATAACCTTCATTCGTTCAGTTTCTATAAACTTGTCTTTTCATTTAATTAGGATGGATTATGGCATATATAATATGCTATACCGACGTCGCTCGTCGTATTTTCCGTATTATTATTATATTTTTTGTGTGTGTGTGTATGCGTTGAAACAAATAACCGTATAAAAACACATACAAATACATGAAGTGAATCTTAAAGCCTCATATTTATCATTATAAAAGATGAACGATTCAGCATGGTGTGTTCATTTTATTGCTATTATTATTATTAAGGCGATGCACATATGAAATGGTTGGCGAACACCATAGGAAAGTGTATTAATTAACAAAGAGTCAAAGATAATTTTCATCTACAAACTCACATAAATATTTATTATAATACACACACACATACGGTCCTTGTGAACGGAAATACATATTTTGAGCCGACAATTTTGAAATAATTCACAGCCTACAAGCCGCATTTCACAAGTATAATTTTACCCGCTCCAAACAAGAAAAAAAACTTTACCCATATTTACTCGTCATTTCGTAAGTTCTAAGTTGAGGTTTTTAGAAACTAATAAACAAATACTCCGGCAAAGCTGTTTCAAATCTCTTTCTCGCTACCACGAAAACTATCTCATTCAAATTGCGTATTGAATTTTCAATTTTACTCAACTAAATCTGTCTGTTTGCATTTCAAACATAATCTTGAATATATTCCAAATAAGTTTGGCTCATGCTGTCGCCAGAAACAAGCACTGAATAAACAAACTATCGCAAATATTTTGCAACAAAATGCAAAGTAAGAAAGAGAATAACATTACATTTTATTCGTGCAAAGTGCAGCGTCAATTCGTTTGAATTGATTTCAGTCTTTTACGGAAGAAGTTTTTTTCGGTTTTATTTATCGTGCGCTCAGATTTTCTATATGACCAAAACAATGCGACATACACACAAACTAAAGCGATACGGATTCGGATATCGATCAATACTTTGCATGAGAAATGAAGTGGATGATTTTACATAGTTCCGTTTATTCTTTAGAAATGCACACCGAAAATTCCACCACTCAGACCTTCGACTCGAAAAATGGGTTTCGGTTGTTTACAATAATATTGACACTATGCAAAAATAACGGAACAACACATAGTCGCCGCAGCAATAACACCAGCATTACAATAGCCATTCAACTCTTTCCTATCGAAAAAAAAAATCGAAATTCCATTTTGCGGCGTTGGTTTGATAAATGGAAAAATTATTCATGTGGGATGTGACAGGACAAAAGCAGATTTTACAGTTTGAATAGAAGAACGAAAGCAAACGGAAAGATAACACACGCTATTGTCGGATTTTTCGTTTTTCATGTGAAAATAAAAGAAATATCCGCACTTTCATGCCTTTCATCCCGATATGTTTGCAGAATACAACACACAATCATATTCAAACGAAAAGTAAGCAGTTTTTCCAAGAAACCGCATGAACATTAGAAATCCAACGATAAACATTTGAACATTCGTTGATTTTCTTTTAAAATTATATTCACAAATGAGAATCTGTGACAAAGGAAGAAATAAATTTGACTATTTACAAATATTATAAACAATAAATGTTATTCTGAAAACAAACAATAATTGTATTGTTATGTGTGAATAATGCATATTAAACAGAGTATACAAACATGCGAATCGCCTTTTATTGATACGAAATTTGTATTGCGAACATATTCAAATTCAGCGCTATACTTACAATAATTTGTTGCCTTTATGTTTGTGTGAGTTTGGATTGTGCTGAAAAATTCAAATGAACTGTTACTTCACATTGCGACTCAATCTGATTTTGAATCAATCTCTCTTCACTCTTGAATTATGCTGTGGCTCAAGAAAAAGAATTGAAAATAGTGCTATTTTCTTCGTATATTTGATATATTACCTATTTAAATTATTAACTTATTTAATATTATGGCCTAAATGCAGATAAATAATGTAAACCTCTAATCGTAATATTATTATGGCAAAATTTAACACATGCAATTTTCATTCTATGACATGATTAAGCATTCGCTGAGTAATACATTTTGCAATTCGTCCATATCGGTCCAATCTTTGAGCTCGTTTCGAATGACCACATTTCGTATGCAGCCTTTGAAGTTGTCACGATTTAAAAGTGTGCCGCTCGGTGCCGTCTCCGGCATTCCGCCAATATATAGGGGACTCTTTGTGTGCACTTTGCCCAATGTTTCATGTTGCTTCAGCTTATTTACGGATGGTAAATTATCGACACGGATTGCAATTTGATTTGAATCATAGATTGCAGATACATTGTGCCAATAATTATTGCAGAGTGTGTATTTCGATGGAACATTGCTTTCAACACGGAATGGATGGCCGTCTCCCAAGTCACAAGACATGATGATCTATTTGAGAAAATGACAGTTTTCAATGAGCAAATCATCATTTCAAATGACATTTTTACATTTACCTTTCCTTTGTGCAGCTCAATTGATATGGCTGGAAATCCAACTGGCTCGGCCACACTCAATATCATGCCTTGCATTTCGGATGTTCGGAACTCAAAGTTGATTTCCAAGTATTTTCCCACGTGGAAGATTCGTTCTATAGAAAAAAGATTCAAAATTTAGGTCCACACGAAATAAGTATTTTAAAATGTTTTGATGAATCACAAAAGCACTTACTGTAAATAGCATACGCATCGCCGGCAAAAAATGAACCTTTTTCAACTTGTGGAAAGCATTGACCAATGCCAAAGTGTCGTCCGGGTTTAGCCAAATCCTGTGATATATTATTCACGAGGAAGCGCCTAATACAACCCTTGAATTGTTCCAATTTTGATGATAATTCGGCCGAGAATGATAGCATGCTGTCTACAATGCCACCGATATACATCATATTCGATGCGCTGATACGTCGTGGCATTTTAAAATCTTCTTCGTCGATGGCATTCGTGTTGCCGTCGCTTTGGATCCGGATTGTCAGAAGTTTATTCACACATTTTAATGTGATTCGATGCCAGTGTCCGTCATTTAGCTTACGTGACATAATCTTTTCCATCCGTTTTCTACCCCGTGCCACAATATTAAGCTGTCCATTTCGCAAAGTCAACGTAAAAAAGTGTTTTTGCTTCTCTTTTGCTCCCTGTACAAGAAAAATCACAGACAAAAAAAATGCTGTTAGCCTATAATCCATAACTATTTGGCTGACAAAATGCGGTGTGTTAATTTACCGGTACGAAAAATAGCAGTCCATTCGGATAGAATGTTCGAAACTCGAATTGAATATCAAAGTTTGTCTGCCACAAATGTTTGCCAATGTTTATGACAGAATGACTCTGTGATGTATCGCCAAACTTAAAAGCATTCGGTTCGTATGAATAAGAGCCGACCTGAAAAAAAAACAACAACCACAAACATTTCAACATACAAAAAAATTCGCTTCTAATTGAAATTCAAAAGTATGTTTAAAAAAAACTAAATATGTATATCTACCCGATGGCAACCCTCTGGCGAAGCAGTGAAACTTTTACTAATCGGTTCTGTTTTCATTAAAATTTCATTGTAGATTTCATGATTTCCCATTTTCGGTCCATCGCGTCCAACATCAACATTTGTTGCATTAACCAAATCACCAAATGATATCGTTTGATTATTCACAACGAAATCTTTGAGCGTTCCATGAAAAGCGTCGACACGCTCGAGTAAATTCAAATATTCCGGTATATTTGGAATGCCACCGACGTAAAAGCCACCGGAACCTTCAATCATACTTATTACAAATGGTTGTGATGATAAAGATTTGCTCATTTGATATTCATCATCAACACGTAACTCAAACTTCCGGCCCAACTTCAGCACATTCACCGTATGATATTCACCATCGTTTAATGTATTATTCGAGATAAGTTCGATTCGGCCACGACCAGCATCGGCCCAAAATATAATGCGACCGTTCACCAATGCAAATGAATAATTTGAGCGCAAATCTTTTTCGTCGTAATAGTTATTGGCCAGTTCCTGGTGTGGCACCACCGACAACAAAATTAATGCATCGCTCCGTAACGTCTTAAATACGAATCCAACATTTGCTCGCTTGCGTAACGAATGATTTGGTAGCTCGAGAAAACCATTGCCATAAAATCCAGCTCTGTGTCAAAGGTAATAAATGAAAATCATATGAAACATGATTAGAATAAAAAGAACAAATAAGTTTTCCATTTTATGATATAAAGTGTACCGTGTTATGCTTTCTCTGCATGATGCTTCAACGCCATTCCGAAGCGATGTTTCAAGTGGATCGTACGTTTCGCCATTGATTTGAATATCTTTCATGCATCCCAGAAAAGCAAAATCGGCTCCCGGTGCTTTTGTTATTGCCGATTTAAAATCAGGCGGAATTCCGCCCAAATAATAAACGGCTCGTGACAAGTCCGGCAACAAAGCCGATGTAATTGGTGTTGTTGGTGCGCCAGTCAACGGTTCTTCGTTGTTCACTTTCATTTGTCCATTTTCGGTACTTCGTTTTGATGTAAATTCACGCGCCACTTCTACACTTGTCCATTGTCCCGTATTGTATTTTTTGCCCGTGCTAATCTCCAGCTTCGATGTGCCACCATAATCAATGCGGAACATAATTTTTCCATCATAAAGTGTAAGCGATATGGACCGATTCTGTGCATTCAAATAAGAAAGAAAAGTTTTCGTTCAACTGAACATGGAATAATTAGCAAAATGATACTCACATTTTTTTCGTCAATTGCCAAGAAAAGTAGCGCATTCTCGTCCAAAGTTTTAAATGTAAGCTGCAGGGCGAAAAAGTTTTTCTTATACGGTTTTGAGCGCTCTTTTCTCACAACCGAATAACCTTGGCCATTGAAATGTCGTGCACCATCGATGGCGGTTATTTCACGCGCACCCAATGTTGCACCATCACATTCACCTTCGGTATGCATGAAATTCCACAAACCAATTCGTTTTTCATCGATATATACATTGCTGAGCACAGCATTCAAGCCAGCATCTTGTGCCAATAGCTCTTGCGGTCGAATTTCATCTGGTACGCCACCAATCCATAAACGCTTATTTGGAGTGAATAAAATTCGTGTTGATTCTGGTTGAGACGATGTACTTTGTACGGTTGATGCTTTATTCCATCCCGTACCCATTTGACGCACAATCAAATTGCCAACGTTCATTGTACGATTGGCCTCGATTTGATACCATGCCTCATCATAATTCAAATCTTTTTTATGCAATTCCATGGGATGTGTTATTGATACAGTGTCGCCACCCAAATTCCAAAGAAAACGTATTTTTCGTTTCACCATTTCAATGGCTAAGAAGCGATTATCCTCTCCTTGCATAAACAGAATGGGTGTTGTTGCTAATTTTGTATTCAATGCCACTGATAGCTTTATATTGTTGGCAGTCGACAGACCCAACGTTGGTAGCGTATATGATCGAACACATTTCACCGATTTTGATTCCAATGAAACACGAATCTATGGAAGAAGAAGGTTAATGAACTTTAGTATGTTTTTTCTAAATTTTTTCCAATATTTAATCGAACTATTACTACTACGAAATAATATAAGTAAGAGAATTGTTTTGAATTGGAAAATAAAGTTGTGTCAAATCAATTTATGATAGTGTGACAGGCAAAGTTTTTTTTCTATTTTATGTATTTTAAAATGTTTCGTGCTAACTTTTTTCTAAAGAAATTCCATAGAATATTCATTTATTTTGCACATTTCCATATAGAGACTTTTTCTGGAGCAACAAAGACACGAATTTTGAGTAAACAATCGTTTCGTTTCAAATTCATCAGCTAGAAACATGCAATAATTTCATTTGTGTGTACAATGCCACCACTTGTTTGCCGATTTGTTTCTCGGAAACAATGTGACTCTGATTTCAAACTACCGTTTTTGCTCATTTCATTGATATATTGTCGATAAGTTCTTCGAATCTGTGTAACACATGATGAAACATGTTTCAACACGAAATCGAAAATAAAACCATTTTGCATAGCATTGCGATATCTCCCGTTTCTTTTGGTTTTCAATCACACCCATTGACATTTTCTCTTTCAACTCCAAACAACTTGAATAATTGTGTAGCGATTTTGAATTATATTTCCAACGGAACAATGTGTTGATAAACTTGTATGTGATTTGCGATTAATAAAAATATCCCAACTGTAGAATGGCGAAAATGTGTTTTTTTATGGAAATTAATCTGAAATATACTTACACCATCAGCGATGTGTCTTGCTTTGGCAATTTTATTTTTCAAATCCTGCATCAGCACCGACATAGTTTGGTTCCATTTTTGGAATTTTTCATCGTTTCGCCTTGAAGTCGTCTCAATAGTACTTAGCACATTTTTGATATCTTTGATGTTCCTCATCGATTGTGATACTGTAAAAAAATCCCAATATGTGAACCTAAATCCTCTCTTGCAGTTCAAATCCAAATGTAGATAAAACTCACCGTTTTCTTCAGCTAATCCGTACTTAACAGCCCATTGTGGTTCCAACGAAGCCAATTTCAATTTCAATTTGTAAATATCGCTGCCTGTAATTGCAATCGCACTGCGTCGTACTTCACGCATTTGTTCTGACACTCTTTTGGCCGCCTCAATTGTGCGCTTCAGGAATTCCTGTGTGTCATTCTTTGAAAATGAATTTAGAGTGAGCGAAAGATTATTGTTTCTCAGTCCCGTTTGCCAAATTGTATTTTTGATTGAGTCAACTTTACGCCATTGTGATTTCAATGAGAAGTCCAGATCTGTAAAAGTTTTAAATTCATTTTTTATATGAAGACACGAGAAAAACACAAACACTCGGTTGTTACCTTCCAATTTTTCCATTTCTTTCAATGAGTGTTGGTGAATTTTTTGCGATTTTTTCAACGATTTTGTGCTCTTTTCAATTATTGATTCGCCCTCTTTGGGATAGAGTTCATTCTCACATTCGATGACTGTTTGTTTTGCTCGTGCAGTTAAATCACGCGCCATTAATACCGAGTCGGTGATATTTTTATAAGCCGTACTGCAATTGGGATGAAATTAGTAAATATTGAAATGGATAAACCAAAAGTGATGAAATTACCTTGCAAGCATTGCAACTTCTGCACTATTTTTCGTATTTTGAAACAAACCAACGTATTCACGTGCGGCATTCATCAAATTATTCGAATGATTCTTGGCCATCGGTAGCATTTCTTGACGTATCTCATTGAGTTGTTGGGCCGACTGTGAGCTTGTTTCGCCAACAATTGTTTTCAATTGAATAATGGTGCCGAGATCCTGACGCAGTTTCTGATAATTATCGACAATCATATTAAACACGGTGTCTGTTTCTGGAATAACATTCGTTTTAAAAATATCGTTGATGTCGGTATGAAGTTGTGCAATTTTCTGATGTTGATGAATCAATTTGATCAGGTTCCTCTCGTTGGCCGCATGAATACTCTTCGACATTGTTGTAGTATCGGAAGTTTTATAGACATTTTGAATTAAATCGTACAATCGATTCTTGGCGTTAATTAAATCGTATTTCATTTGCGTTGCTTCAGCCATTTGATCGGTGAGAATTGATGACGTATTGGACCACTGGTCAATCAAATTAATGGCACATTGATGGGCACGATTGGCAACGTTATGGCTGTCAACGACACCCAAAATACTTTTCAATAGTTCTTCGGATTCAGCCAGTGCAATTGGAAGATTCACATGATGACTGCTGCCAATTCCGAAAACATTGAGCGTATTAATATGGGCTTGTGTTTCATTTTGAACGTATTCCATTTCATTCCAGAATGTGGCTGACATTATATTCAATTTTTCCGACATTTGACTGCGTTTCACCGCTTTCGCCAACATATTTTTCCAACGCGTATTCAAATTTGATCCTTTTGAACTCAACTGAAAATGAATAAAAAATTAATTATTTTCTTCGACATTTTCCTTCTCCACTCTTACCTTGTCGATTTGAAGATCGTTGTAGTTTTCGAGTTTTTCTGTAGATTTCTCAATGTCATTACATCTCATCACCAAATGCTCGGTTGTATTTTCGTACGACAATAATCGAGACCATGGAGCCGGTATTGAGTCTAAGTCAATGTGCTGACTTTCACTTTGTATGTAGTAAGCCAAGTCGTTGGAATTTTCGAGCAGTATCAGCGTACAATTATCACAAACTAAAATTATATGATATGAAAATAGATTTGGGATCGGTTAAAAAAAATCACAAAAAAGTACCTTGACAACCATTTGGTTCCAAAATAGATGTAGGTTGAGCACATTTATCGCATTTTGTACCGATAATGCCATCTTTACACATGCAGTCACCAGTGAATGCATCACATTCAATTGAAACCGAGCCGTGTTCATTACATTGGCAATCAATACAACCTCCACCCTCTTGTTCTGGTGAACCATAAAAACCGGGCGCGCAGAAGTCGCATAAATCACCAATATAGCCCGAACGACAACTGCAACTAACTCGACCATTATAGAATGTACAACCTTTGGCGAAATTACGATGCGTTTCTGGACATGGACACGACTGACAACCATATACGATTGGATCACCATAATACCCTTCGGCACAGAGTTCGCACTGGGCACCGCCCGTGTTATTGACACACATCTTTAATGAATCGAAAATATTGAACATAATTTGAAAAAAGGTAGAATTTGTCAAATAGCTTCCTTACCTTACAATATCCAGTCTCTTTGTCGCATTGATTGCTTCGACTGTGGCACTCACACGGTACCGACTTTCCAACGAAGTTCTCGTAGTGCTGATGAGATGTTTCAACATGACTTTCTTTGTGGCGATAGTATCCATCAGATGGATTTTGACATGATGATCCTTCATACATCTCTGGACATTGACACACTTCAACACCGATCGCCAAATTACTTTTCGATCCCGATATGAAAATTGCCGTCTCCAATGTCACATTCGATAATCTGAAAAAATTTAAAAAAATGTTTTTTTAAAGCAATGACGTCGCCCGATTTCTTTGAGTGAAAGTTTTTCATTTTGAATTGTATTAAACACCTACGTTAGACTTGTAAATGCAACTGATGATGCTCCACGTATCAAAATATATGTGATATTTTGTAAGGCGGTCATAAATATGCCACGTGATGCCACTTCACCGCTGGGATGCAATCGCCAATGTTCTTCAATCATACGAATGGTTTCAGTGACATTTGAACTGGTATGGAATGACTCCGGCTTCAAAGAAATTATATTCGTCGGTTATTTTTCTCTAAAAAAATGTGTGAAAATGAATTCTTACTCCAAAATAGTCCAATGTAAGCGAATTATGTGAACGCATTCGAATCAATGGGAAGTGTTGTAGCGTTATTTGATCCAGTTCCGTTTTGCATTCCATCATTTCAATGTTAAACTTGAATAAACCACCATAGCTCAGCAGTTGATCTCCGAGGAATTGCTTGGACATTTCAAAGTAAAGTGGTGTTTCAAATCCACGAGATGATTTCATAGAAATATTACCTTTGAAAAAATTATTTTTTGTTCATTTTATTAATAATTTTTTTTTTCCAAAATTTCGTTGAAAACAGTTAAAAAAAGACAAGAAAAAAGTGTGTCTTACCACTTGTGCCAGGAATGACAGACAAACCGTCCAAAATTTGTAAATTCGTTTCATAGCTAATTTCCGTGCTGTTATCTTGTGTTTGAAGTGCCACATATTCAATATTTTGGTATTCAACGGTCAAACATCGTGCATCATTAGCTCGTATCAATCCCCAACTAAAATCACTCTGTATACATTTCTTTGATCGGTCAAAACAGAAGCATTTAGTGCATCCATCTGCATTGTATTTTGACAATCCAAATGTTGATTCGATACATTGGTCACATTTTTTACCGGTTACCAATGATTTACATGAACACTGTCCTTCGTCATTGCATGGAATTGGTTCGGAATAGTTCGTCGTTAATGAACCGTCATGGTTGCATCCACATCTTTCACAGTTCGGATAGCCAAAGTATCCAATCGAGCATCGATTGCATTCACGTCCAGTGAACCCTTCACGACACATACACTGGCCGGTGTACACATCACACGATTGTCCAATCGATCCGGTGTGATCACATTCACATAATTTGCATCCTTTCTTGTGCTCCCATCCATATGAATTTGGCATACACTGATTGCAATCGATTCCTTTACTGTGCGGTGGACAAATGCATCGACCCGATTCTGGATCGCAATTGTATGCTGAATTTGAACATTCATCGCAATCTAAACAAAAAAAGAATGAAAATAATATTATGTCCGTAAGCTAAATGGAATTTGAAAAAAGTTCAATTCTGATTTTAATATGAAAACAGCTCAATCTAATCGCTATCTCCATTGCTATCAACCATATTCCGTTAGATTATTCATTAAATAAATGATTAAATATGTTAACATGTTAATACATACGTTTACATCCAGTCGCTGAGAGTCCATAAAAACCTTCGAGGCAAGAGTCACACATTGGACCACCAACGCCGACTTTGCAAACACATTGACCGGTATATGCATTACAACTGAAATTGACGCTACCGATGGCATTGCAGGCACAACTTTGACAGCCTTTACCCGATTCAAGATTCCAAAATCCTTCCGAGCATTTATCACATGTTCGACCTGTTACATTCTCTCGACAGAAGCATTGTCCATTATGTTTATTACAATTTTGCGCAACAGAGCCCAGCGGATTGCAGTGGCATTCTGTAATGAAAGCAGAAGAAAAAAAAACGAAGTGGCTTTGTTATAAATATGAAATACATAGCTTATAATTTAAACATCATTAACTTTAATTGCATAATTATATTATCAATTGATTTAATGAACATCTTGTAAAAGATGCGAACAAAGATAATAAGAAAATGAAATATTTTGAAACAACAACAATTGGCCTGAAATTTATCGATCGATAATCAATTTTACAATTTTATTAATTTTCGTTTTGTGTAGAACGTTGTCGGTTCATTTTTTTTGAAATTTTCCAATAAAATCATGCACATTCGATACGATCGAATCGCTGGAGATGCATTAAAAAAAACTTTATCGTATTTTTTAGTAGTAAATTTTCGAGTTAATAAACTCATATAAATTGAGTGCATTTGATGAGATTCATTATATGCATCGATTCAAAGCGATTCAATAGATCAATCTTTCAATAGAACTTCCGTGATTTTTCTTTGATGACGAAACTCTTTCATACAAATTTTCAAGAGTTATTGGGTGTATAAATTAATTTTGATCGCTGACAATTAGATGTCGCCACTTAAACTTGTATGAAGTTTGACAGGTGAATCCAATTGCATTTTGTACATGTGACATTTGCCAATCTAATTCAGAGCAGGAAGGTTTATTTTCCACGCAGCGTCATTATTTTTGTATCGATTCAAAATGAGTGATGAAGAAGTGTTTTTCTGTCTGGCCCTCCTTTGGTTCAATTTTTTCACTTTAATCAAAGTGAAAATAGATCTGAAGGTTATGAAATGTTGCAGGAGACGAGACCTCTCAATCGCCACAGAGAATGTTGAATTTGGTGAAAAAGAAGTGGTGAATTTGTTGAAAAACTGCGAACTCACCAAAAAAATTGAATGATTGGCGTTTTTTATTCGATAAATATGCATGAAAATGCATCAGGAAACATCAAAAGCATTAAATTATATGCGAATCAATCGTTTTAAGACATTTATAATGAGGTAAGACCAAAGAAATTGTGTGCCACACCAGCTGAATCCAAAACTAGTTGTAAGACGTTTTTTCACATTTTGGCACAATGTTCCAAAAATAGGAAAGAAAGGAATTTTTGTATCGTATTGTAACTGGAAGTGAAGAGGGCATCTGCTACGATAACCCCAGGCATAAAAATAAGGTATCAATCCCACACAATCGTCAAAATCGACAGCATAGCAGGATTTTGATGATTTCTCGGTAATGCTCATTATTTGGTGGGATTAAAGTGGTGTGGTGTATAATGAGCTGCTGAAACCGGGTGAAACAGTCACGGGGGATCGGTATCGACTACAACCAATACGTTTGAGCAGAGTACTGAGAGAAAAATTGAAAAAAACTGCGACAAGAAATAGTCGAAGGATTTTTTCAAAATTTGACATATTTCAAACATCGCAAAAAAAGATAATGGACTCTGGTCGGGGTGAGCTTGATCACCCCCCGTACTCTCCAGACCTTGCCCCTTCTGATTATCACTTGTTTCGATCAATGCAAATGGGCTTGTCTGAGATATCGTTTCGAAATCCTGAAGGAGTGCGAAAATGGATCGATGAATGGATAGCGTCAAAAGATGAGGAATTCTTTCGACGCGAAATCGACAAGTTAATAAGAAGATGGGCGGAAGTCAAAGCTAACGATGGGCAATACATTGGTTAATGTACTCATTCTTATTATTTTTAAATAAATGTTTCCTTTCACCAAAAAAACGATCAAAATTAATTTATACACCCAATACTTAGAGTACCGACCTTATATCAACATTACATTACAGGCCACTTGAACGCAGATTTGGAATGCGTTTCGAATTACATCGCTCTTAAAATTGAATATCGTCCTGAAACAGTTGTTTAACGCATGTTAATTAAACAATCAAAAGATCAAAGGCAGATGTTGAATGTATTGCGCGAGTTGAGTTATCGCATACGTGCAATTCATTTTTCGATTTTTGATTTACCGATCCATCAAAACTTTTAACGCTTTCAAAACTGTTGAAAGACACGAAGCAATTGCCTTTATTCGATTCGTTTGATCAACAACACATACACACCAGCACAAACAACATATCATCAATAACAACAAGAAAAACACTATCGTTAAACTTAAATTATAATTTTCTGCGTCAATGCGTCTCTGTGGTGCTAGACTATAAGTCTTAAATACATACCGTAGTGATATCTTGTTCGTGTTGGAAAGTATGGTTTATGGCGTATCGGTGCGCCGGGTATGATTCGGCATTTGTTGCAGTTGTTACGTTGTATTGGTCGATAATAGCTTTTATGCACATAGTTTTTGTTCGTTTGTTTAATTTGCGTTGCAAGAAACGGTTGTTTGTAGGAAGTTGGCATAAATCTTTCGGTTTTTTGCACATTATTCCCAACTAAATTATAAGATAAATAAGTTGTTGTACGGTCATACGATGGGGCGTTGAAAAGTTTGGAAGTTATCTTTGGTTTAGAGTTAGGAACTCTTTCATGGGTTTGACTGTTGAATGTATGTTGGCCGCCACGATTACTATCACCAATGTCAGTTGTATTTTTAAATTCGTGCCGGTATTGAGTGTCTGTGATACGCTTAACATCTAGTGCCAGCACATTTCCATTTGAATTATGTGATTGATGTACTTTGCGATGTTGATCACGTTTCGGAGTGAATCGATTTTTCGACGTTGTTTTGAAAATGTTCGATGTTCTTGTGCGACCGTTTCTTTCGACGCGTCGAACTGACTTGTTCATTAAAACATGCGCACTTCTTTCAATCGGTGACAGCGTCGGTGATAACAATGCTGCTGCTGTTGTTGTTGGTGAGGCGGTTAATTCATCGTCACTTTTAATAGTTTCATCACGCGGTAGCGATGTGTCGTGCAACGTCAAGGTATTGTTGAATATTTGACGTTGATTTTTAAATTGAACTTGACTTGTGCCAGTATTTATATCAATTCGATCTCTTTCAATTTGGTGACCATAACAACCGTTTGCAACGAATAGAATTGCCATCAATGTCGTTAAAATGTAACGACGACAATGGCATTGCATTGCACACAAATGATGCCAAATTTTTTGCGGCTTTTGTTTACTTAATTCTTCCATTTCACCATTATTCCATCATTGTGTCGATCGACGTGGAACTTTGATTATTATTTGGTATCGTTTGCACATGCTAACAATGAAATAAGTGCAAAACATTGTTATTCAATTTAGTATTTATTATAATAACAGCACTTTCTCAAGAATTTTATAAAATTCAAAGAAATTCACTTTGCGAACACACGAAAAATAAATTATACATTTCAACTGTGAAAAACACCAAGCACAGCAAATATTTTATTATCGATTGTAGAAAAACACTTAGAGTAAGGCGTTTTGTGTTTAGTTCATTCAGCGATAAGATCTAATTTTTTTCTTCTTCGGTTGTTCGTTGTTGTTTATGCTTTTAACACTCTTTGATTTTATTATATATTATATGGATTGGTTCATTTAAAATGTCTGTTTATTTTCAATCGATTGCCATTTATTCTACGATGTTTAATTTTCGCCAAAGTGTTTCCTGTGAGCGAAAAGTCTCAGTGATAACTCTCAATATGTGTATCGTAATACGTGTATAATAAATGTATGCCAGTTTGTGTGTATATAAGTTTTTTTTTTTCTTCTTCTCCGGGGTCAATTCGTAGAAACAAGCACAAAAGTTCTCATGCAAATCGGAACTCTCTGGTTTGAGTTACGATTTACGTAGTAGTTTGTGCGGTGTTATTTTACAATTTATTTTGTGCTACAACGCTTCGAATGTTGTTTGTTGTTTTTTTTTCTCTCTCTCACTCTGTCGCCCGTTTCCAGGCCGACCGATTCGAATATGTTCAATAATGAAGATTTCTTAACACTTTCATGTCATTCTGAATTAAACGAGAAACCATTTGAGATTGGCTACTCCATGGGCCTTAAAGTCTCTGTTTACGCCCGATGCAATTACGCTTTCAATAATAATATTTACTGTAATTGCGAGACCACTTTTGAAATAGGATAAACATTTAAGATTTTATAATAAATACATTGGTAAACATGGAAAGTGTCTTTAGTCGCAGCAATACGGATTTTTTTAATGCGAACCAAAACACCATTCAATTCACACAGCTCTATGCGCACATTTCGTGCCAAAATGGCTCATTTAAATATTTACTTTAACCAGCGTATTCATTTTCGCACACGCTTAATGTTCGGTCAAAGGCGGAGTTCGCATTGATAAATCAGCGAAAATCTTGAGTGATTTAAACAAAATGTAAAATGACTTCACTACATTTTGATTCCAAATAGATGCTTCTATCTTAATCTTCGTCTTTCTTTTCTTGTATCTTCTGGAGTGTTTTTTTTCGAGCAATGGCTTTTTTTCTAACCAAAATTGAGGATTGAGTTGGTTGCACTGTAAGAATGTAGTGAATCAGCACAAGCATTACCTCTGGTAATAAGTTGCATGTCCATAGAAATATAGATGAACAAAAAAAGAGTCAAGATAAACAGAGCCTAAATCATATGCAACCACGGTATCGAGTGCAGATTCGTCTGCATAAAATGCAAGCGCAATACCATATTACACTGTGTGTGGCAGAGAGTAAGAGAAGAAGAGAAAAAAACTCACAACATAAACAACAACATCTCATATAAATATTAATGTGGGATGTCTTCCTTCCACAACTGTTCAATACGAGCGAAAAATGTTCTCTTTTTTGCGCTTACACTTCACTGTATTTACTGTCACTACAGTGTGTGTGCATTGAAGAGCAAACTCGCAAAAGATCGGATATGCAATGGAATAAAAAATCTTCATCTTTGGAAAGAGTCATGACGAAGCTCAGAGATATTTGTTTATGTTTACCACGCACTCTTTCATTAACATGATGTTTGCATAAATAAATTATAGAGCATTTTGCCGGTGGAACAATTGAAAAAAGCAATTGCATTTTCTTTTCACTTGTGCAAACGTATCAACGCGCGTCACACATCGAACAAGACATTATTTTTTCTTTCTCTCTCTCATCTCTCGTCGCGCGCGCTCGTTTTGACCAGACAGCGATTCGAACAGGCGATCATTCTAATTCAATGTCTGGCCGCATCAATAGATAGGCAATACTAATAAAAATTGACGGCAATAATTCATGATTTGAAGTAAAAACGGCACTCGATGCTGATGGGACACGATCGTCATTGTGATCCGGTAGTTCTTCGGTCAAATTGAACGTGAACATGAACTTGTTCTGATTTATTTTGTTTGTACGTTCGAAACCATAATAATAAATAAAATCATTCGAAATGCGGTTATTCAAAAGAGAGAAAGAGACGATCCACCATTTTAAGTAATAAATCAATTTTATGGTCGCAATGAATTGTGGTACGCGTTTCAGGCTTATTCTTATGGCTTTGTTTACATTGGATTTGTGTAAACGATCAATCGATCATTATTTAAACCATTTTACTGATTGAGCCACGTGTAAGCATGCGTTTTAAAGTACACCTCAATTTTCTTCGTTCGAAAATGCAAATTTCTTTTTTTTTTTTTTTTTTCGCCAATTTTGCCTCTCACACGATCCAATCACGTTTGACTCGTTCGCAAAGAACTGTTAAGGCGAAGATGTATTGTAATTGATAACAATAGCCCCATGCATGCAGTCAAAAAAATTACAAAAATAAATTTCGTATTTAAATAAATCACGGTGCTGCATTGTATAGAATATATAACAATAAAAAACAGATTAATCGCTTGCAGCAAAACGTTTGCGATTGTTCATCAAAATTTTGGCAGAGCGAGAAAGAGAAAAAAAGCGGGCAAATAAACGCCGAAAAACGTTGTCAAGCGACAATTGTTCGAATTTGGTTTTGTTCAGTGTTCAGTTGAAAAACAATTACGATCAAAAAAACTGCCGATCCCGGTTAAATTGGTGGTTTTGTACGAATATTTAACAAAATCAGAAAATTCACACTAATTCCACGGCATACATTTGTTTTACATTTTTGCCAGAAAATCATTAATCTGATTGATCTTTTGTCGATTTTTATTTGGTCTAGACACGGACAACACGCTTATTTTACAATCTTTTTCACTTTGATGTTTTTCTCAGTTGGGATTGGCAGGCGCACTTAGATTCTTATTACAAATCACACGGTTGCAGTATCGCGAAATATTATGCTTCACTTTAAATGACTATTAAAGGCAATAACCTTTGTTCTGAAATTCAATAACTGCACACTTTGAACGCGTATTTATTTATTTTCCTGCTTCTTCTTATTTTTCTTTTTATTGTGTTATTTGTCTCGCAATCACTTTAAAATGATTCTCTATTTACTTCGTTGTTTTTTTTTAGTTTTCTTCATGCAGTAGTCGGTTGGCTGCTTTATGGCATTCCAATCGAATATTTTCTCGTTTATCGCACATATATGAAGAACGAAGCGAAAAAAGCAACCAGAAGCAATTTCTATTGTCAAAAACTGTGAGAATCGGTCGACGTATTAAAAAACGCACGAAACCAACTCGAAATACATTTTATTTATTGAAGGCGAACGAGTGCAAAGCGAAATGCGATGCGCGTTCGGCAAAATCCAAGCACGAACTATTTCAATAGTATGTTTGCGCATTATGTTGCACTCATTTCCTATGTTTCCAGGCTTGAAAAAAACATTTTTGCTGCGTTTCAGTGTAGTTGTTTTTAGGCGATCGGTCTCGGCTTAAATATGTGTCTGAGTAAGATTCATGCACAAATGTGTTCAGTTGAATCAGCGCGGCTCATACACGACGGACTCATGAGTATTTATTTTCTCTCTTGTTACATTATTCCCATACTCTTGCTCTCATACAGGAATTTTTGGTTGATTTTAGAATATTTCTAAAGATTGTGTTGTTGTTGTTGTTTTTTTGCGTGTCGCGCTGACACAGACGTTTTAAACATCAGATTTTATACACACGAACTGTATGATGCATAACAAATTCACTAAGTCTCGTGGTAATTTTCTGGAGTTGTCTTTTTTTACTTTTGCAATGACAAATGCATTCATTCAAATGAGGAATCCAATTTTATAAATTGCGATGTGCTTCTGCCGTTTTAAAATATCTAATTATGCATGCAGAACAATTATTTTTGTCATCGATTGATCTAGCTAACATATGTCAACTCTCTATCTCCCTCCGTCTCTCTGTTTTTCTTTCAATTTTTTTCTCTGTCTAAAGTAATCACAGTCACAGCTGTTTCATTCGTGCATAAGCTCATGAGAAGGTATGAATGAAAATAATTGTTTTTAAACCCCATGTTGTTTTGTGTCTTCACTATTTCTCGGCGATTAATTCATAATATTTTGTTCATTCGTAGACGACAAATTATTTGTTTCTGAAAAGCAATTCAAAGATCGGATTTCAATTTTTTGTGAATGTACCGATCGTGGTTCATCTGATGTACATTACTATGAATACCAGAATAAATCACAACGCCTACATGTACAACGCAGCGAGTTTGCAAATACATTCATACAATTTTCACGATGCATAGAATTACGCATCAACGATTTTGTGTCTCTAGACAGTCTTTGACTATATGAAATCGTACGTCTGTTGCATTTACATTAATTTATTTACCACAACGCATCTTTGCATCGTTTTCGCTATTTTCGAATAGAGCATCGAAATTCAGTATCGTGACTCATTTTCTCTCGGGCTATAAAATCACGTACTGTCTCTTTTTTGTGTGTGCACAAATGTAATAAAATAAATTTGTCAGTTTTATAAGCTCCATATAATCTTAATATGGAAGATCAAGAGTATGACTCCTTTCGATTTGATTTATGTGTGATTCGGAATACATATTCAATTTACCTTGACATCCGTCCGTTGAAAGACCGTAGAAACCATCCATACATTCATCACACTGCAATCCTTCGACACCCATTTTACACGGACATTGGCCAGTATGGGTATCGCAGAAATTTTCAATCGCACCGCTACCATTGCAACTGCATGACGGACAACCAAGACTAATGTTTGCGTATCCAAACTGCGAATGATGCAAATAAAGAGAATAAACATATGATTAATGATTATCATTTAAAATTGGTCAAAAATAGAAACGTGGCACGAAACGTACCGCACATCCATCGCACTGATATCCATCATAATTCGCTTTGCATTTACATTGGCCACTTTCTCTGTCGCAATCGGTGTTTTCGGATCCATCACTTTGGCACCGGCACAGTTCACAGCCTTTTGCTGGATTTCCAAAGTAGCCCGATTTACATTGTTCGCATCGCCATCCTTCGGTGTTTCCTCTGAAAAAAATTTTTTCATTGAAAATTGGTTCCTTTTCAAAAAAACATGAGAAATACTCACTGGCAAGTGATGCATTTGCCTGTGATCGGATCACACGGTCCCCCATTGCATGGGCATTTCAAGCATTTCGATGATACTTTCGTTGGAATACCGTAGTATCCATCGGCACAGCTACAAAAGTATGAACATTTACATGAAGACTGACAGTTTAAATTAATCTTAATAAAAACCATACCTTTCGCAATGATCTCCAACATATCCTTCCGGGCATTTGGTGCAAATATAATTATCATTATTTTGATATGAAATCAAACTATAATCGCTAATGACTTCGTTTTGTTGTTCATAACTAGAGTCTCTAAATTGGCACGTTGGTGAGAAATTATTTTCGTCGTTGATTAATGGACAAGCGCATCGTTTACAATCGTGTGGTGTACCCAATTTGGCATTTCCATAATAGCCCACCGCACAAGATTCACATCTATTACAAAAAAAAACATGCCAACATTAGATATTTCCCTTCTGAATGCATGTTTACTTTTCAATATTTTGAATTACCTTGATCCGGTAGTGTTATGTGTACATTGGCTACATTTATTAGACGTTAAATCACATGATTCAGCATGTCCATTGCAAGAGCATGGCAGACAAATGCCCAGGTGTTCCGAAGTTGTATTTTCATAGGCTCTGACATAGCCGAAATCACACGTTTCACACGATAAACCGATGTATCCCTGTGGACACACACATTGTTCCACCAAATTTGAGGGCACTTCGTTTTTGCTGCCTTTACCAAACTCCAGTGAAGCACGAATCAAAACACTTTCCGCTTGATCTGTGTGGAATGATCCTCGCAGCATAACACTTTCAATATTACTCAAAACCGACAGAAATTGCGATCGAGACACATAATCACCGCGGTATTCATTTTGTTGAAGTCGTCCTGTGTTATCCATTGTTTGTGGTATTTGATACCATTCATGTTCGGTTAATTGGATTGACATGGTCGAATTTGTTTCCGAAAATATTGTGTCACCGTAGGCAATTTTCATACCATTCGCACCGATTATAATCATTGTGGGACAGAATGTCGGTTTGCCACTTGTGTCACCACGAACAACAATCTGTGAATGAAAACACACATAACATTGAAAACTAACCATAATTTTAGGGATGCGATTCAAAGATCAACTCACCCATGAAATTGTAAAAACAAAACTGGATCCATAACTCTGTAGTTTATTGCCGCAATACAAATCAGGCGCAAGCCAATAAATCGATTCATACATTTCATACATGTTGAATACCAAAAATCCGGTTTCGTTATCTTTGGATGGGTGCAATAAGTATGATCGTGAAATATCCGTTATTTTCCAATCTTCAAGCGTTTCATACTGAAAAAGACCATTTGAAAATAGCAACAAAATTTAATTTTCCTTGTGTTTAATTGCTTTAATTATTTTAAATTACCGTATTGGTTACAATGTTACTGCTTTCACATATATTTCCCACTCCGGAACAGTAGCACTTTGTACATCCTTCTGGATTTGACTGCGATAATCCAAAGTAACCAGGTGTACATCTATCGCAGAGCTCTCCTTCAGCATAGAGCTGATTCAAAGGAAATAAAACAATTATAGATAATTTCAATAAACTCATTTAGATAGTTGTAAAATTACTTTGCATTGGCAGTGTGTTTCACATACACCTCCAGGCATAGTGCCGCGCGTATCACATGGACATTGTGTGCAATTTATTCCACTATATCCCGGTAAACATTCATCGCACTTGGGACCAGCAAAGCCGGGCTTACACGTACAAGTCCCGCCGATACCTGCACAAGTTCCAATCGTACCGATGGGATTACTGATTCGAAAAATAAACAAAAATTAAATCAAATTATTGATCAATTTTCAAAAAAAAATTACCATTCACATGGAATACACGGTTGTTTAACATTTGGCGACACACCATACGGTCGATAATAGTTGTTGATGCATTTCTCACAATTAATTCCAGTGGTTAAATCCTACAGAAAAATTGCAACGAAAACTTGTGAAAGCCAGTGATCGTAAGCTTTACAATAAATCATTTAAACATACTGTACAGTTGAGACAAACACCGCCACCACTATAAACGCCATCTGTGTTAATACTCAAGCCTCGCTGATCGACCTCTGGATTGTAATAGCATTCACTGGAATGTCCATAGCACTGCAAAGTTAATGCACAATTTCCAATTATAATTTTGAATGAAAAAAAAACGTATTGAGATTGAATTACAAACCTCACATTTTTCGCACTTATTGCTATCAGTTGCTGTGCCTTGTTTGTACGGTTTTTGATTGTACAACGGGCAACATTTTTCGCAATTTATTCCGCATGTATTGTGAGCACAATCACATTCAGTTATCTGGAAAGCAATTTTTTTTACATTCGAGACACATTTTTTGTTCATTTAAATTAACCACTCATTTTTAAATACAAACCTCATCATCGTTATATTGTTTAGCGCGTAGCGCATGCCCACTGCAATCGAGACGTGCACCAATTTTAATATAACGCAACGAGTAAAAGCTCCGTTTGTTCAGCTGATCACGATCGACGAGCCACTGAATGCTATTTGGTGACTGAAGTGTTGTATGCATTCCTTGGAATCGCAATCGCAAATACCGTGCCAATGTAAAGTCCAATAAATTGGTTGGCGTTACTTTTGACTTAATTCCCGGTCGCCCTTCCAATAATTTCACATGAATCTGAAGATTTCAAAATTGTGACGATAAAAATATCGCTAAGAAAAAAATAATCGATTTATCTTACTTCGCCGTTTTCCAAGGGAACCGCTTTGGAGAATTGCGTTGAACAGATGATTTGATCGTCACTATCAATTTGGTAAGGTTCATTTTGACCGGGTAAATTGTATCGCTTGCGACAATCGTCATCATTCACACCAAAGTATTGCCATGGAAAGAATTCAACACCATCAAATGAACGTTCCAGTATCCATGATGCAGGTCGCGGAGATACAGCCGCTTTGAATGATACAAATATCACTTGATAGTTCTGAAAATGAAAGTATTGCCGATTTTGATGCAATTTAGATAAAAAATCGAAATAAATAAATACAAATAGATTTTTAGATCTTTTACTATGAACACGAAAACTTCATCTACATTTCCGATGACACCATGAAAATAAACATATATATTTGTCAATAAAATTATATTGAACTCGTTTTGGGCTCAAAAATACCATATCCACTCTCAAACACCAATAAATCTATTTCTATTGCAACAATTTAAAGGTGTGTAATACATACGCTCTATTTTATAGATCTGTCTGTACGTGGCCAATTTCCGATGAAATCTTCATCGAATCAATTTATTTTTATCGAGCCATATAAAATCCTTTTTTTCTCTTACTTTTTTTTTGTTTAACAAATCAATCGAGATCAGATGGTCATTTATTTGGATCGTTTGTATAAATAGGCGAGAGATAAGGTTCATTTTTTCGATTTTCAAATCAAAACGATACTCGTCTGGCTTGTTGAAATGAAATTGGTGAAATAATGTACGGCTGGCTCAATTAATTTTGTTATACTGAGATAATAATCGAACGTGACTCTTTAATTTTCCGCTTTGTTAAGTCGCCGACATTAATGAATTGACCGTGTAACACAAATTCTTCGACTTCGACTTGCACTCTTATCTTTATGGTCTATGAATAAAGTCAATAGTTTAACAAATGGTTTTAAATGGTCGATGTGGAAGGAATGAAGAAGAGGATCGACCAAAATGCATTGTTATTCACCTTAATGTGTTATGCATACACTATTAAAACCAGGCGGCGACGAAACGCCATGCATGCCTTGATTGGTTTTTATCATACTGTGATTCGAAGCGGAGTAACTAGAGTAAACTCTCCAGCAGCGTGTGTATTATTAGTTCATCTATAATTTTATTTGGGTTGGCGATTTTAATAAAGGGATTCGCTTCTTATGGTTTTGATTCGTATTGCTGCTTCTGCTTCTGCTGTGGACGTTGTTGTTGTTTTAAGTTAAACAATATAAAGAATGACTATACGAAAAGTCTATTGCATCTGTTTCGTTGGTGATTTAAAAAAAGAGCTACCAAGATAGTCGATCGATCTTCAGCCGTGTGCAGTAGATTAAATTGCATATCCTATTTTGGAATACACGGGATCGGTCGATAAAGTTGTGCAATTATCAAAACACGCAAGCGGTTACCATTAGCGAAAGAGCAAATCCCATTCGAGACATAGGACTTCACAACTGTAAAAAAATTGTTCTTCGGCATTGTCAATGCGCGCGCCTTGAGAGTGGCAGTCGCCAAACGATGAAACGCTCAAACCTATTTGTCTCGAACGGTACCATTTTTGGTTACATTACCAAATATAAACCATTGAACTTTTTGTTTATTTATTTGGTTCGTGTGTCCGTTGGCCGAAGTCAAAGTCTGAACACATTCAGCATGTAACGAGCATAATCAATGTGATTTTAAAAAGAAGTTATTGTCGTTGACGCATAAAACAAAACTGAACGAGAGAGAAAAAAAAATCGTAAAAGATTCAAAACCCGAGCGAAAAAAAAGTGAAGTGACTCTATATACGCAGTACGGTGCACGAGTATTTTTCTTATGAAATAAAGCCAGTGATATATTTCTCCTCATTATTTTTATTTGCGCTTGTGTTATTGTCCACGTTTATTTCTCTTACTGTACGACATGCAATTGATGTATTGGACACATGAAAATATCTCTGTATCTCTCTCTCTCTCTCTCCCGCTCACTCGCTCGCACATTGTATGCGAAACGTTTTGTAGCGTGCGCGAGAGAAAATTTGTATTCATCGCATTTCATTTGCTTGATATTCAGCCAGAAGAAAAGAGATTTTTGTTTTGTTCGTCGTTGTTGTTATTATTATTGTTCATTCGTCTGTCTTTTGATGCCAAGCCATCGTCTTATGTTCATTAGTTTTGTTGATTTTTGTGCTGCTTGCTTTTCGTTTAGCACATCAATCGTATTTATTCATGTAATTTTAAAGTTCAATAAGGCACATACAAACACGCACACACACACACACCACGTACCGTGAATGGGAAATGACAAAAAGTGCATATATGGCGTTTACGGTCGCCGCATTGTTATTTGGTTCGCGGTCTCTTATTTGATACATTACACGAATTCCGAAGAACAACAGACACATACTCACGCAATCAACGAGAGAGAAAAGAGCCTGAATAAGAGATCACACAAAAAAAGTGGTTTCATTTTTACTTCTCGTAGCCCATATTGGGCAACCGAACGAATATAAACAGATAATTCAATCTTCCCATATGTTTGCGTTGAATTGAAGCGACGAAAGGTGAAAGATAAGATAAAATGGATTGAAGATGCTTGTTAGTTCTAGTTTCTTGAGAGTACCACAACGGAACACGGAATATTTTACAATATCGAATAAGATCATTAACTCATTTAAATAGACGTCAGCATAATCTCTTTCGCTTCGCATACGTTTACAAGGGCAATAAATTATTTTCAGGCCTGATTTTCATATGAAACAAAATAATTTACGACTTAAGTACACATAGTTTTTATGATGACAACCTAATTCATACAATAGATGGGACATTCCCATTTGTACTGTACGGCTGAATAAAAAAAAACAGCGAGAAAACAGGAAAGAATATGCGGCTTTTTCTCTCTGTACTCTCTATGCTCTATGTTGAATGGAGTATGCGCGCATCTTAGTCACAGATACAAACAATCATTTTATATGAGTCTGACTGATATCTTTATTCATTGTTCGAATTGTTTTGATTGCCCATGGATGTAACATGTGGTAAAAATGAGAGAATTACACTCAGAGATGAGAAGGGAACAAAAAACCGAAACGAAACCAAACACACATATCAATTGCAATCCGATTCACAATTGACAAGCATAAAAACGAATCTACGGAATGCGACAAATGTTTTCGCGGCTTGCGACAAGCGAACGTCGTTCATTTTGTTGTTGTCGGCATGTGGTTTTGCCAATAGCAAATTGCCAAGAAATATTTTATTTTTCACAAATGTCCATTAAAATTATTTTCCTTTTTTATGAGCAGTTTTCGAATGTGAACATTTTCCCCACATTCGCAGAAACAAACAATACGCTCCTATGAACAGAGCAAACAGATCAGATGCGATCCATTTGCATCGTTCAATTTTATTTTAATTTCCAATGTTTCTACCTAAATTATTTGAAAAATTGCCTATTTGAACAAAAAACGTCAATTTACATGGATATAATTAATGTAAAAACACATAAAACCAATGTATTCAGTGTCATTTGACGTTTATGTTATGTACGTTATCACCTAAATGGGCATATTACAAAAACTGCTAAATATATTCTGGGAAATTGCATTCGATTCTAACACGGTTTTTAGTTTCAAAGTCTGCGGCCGATCAGATCGCTGGCGCGTCATACGCACACACACACATACAATCATCGTTGCATGTTCAATACAGAAGGAAAGCATATTTAATATTCGTCGGAATATTGCCAGTAATCAATTCGAAACTGATTTTACGACCGAATGCCTGCTTTGTGTGAATGTATGTTTCACGAATATGATCAAAAACCGTAAAATTTTTGCAATTAGTATTTATAAACATTGTATGGACATTTGAAATGTGTTCCTCTTCTTTTATGCAGTAACAACATCGTATCGATGCTTAAAATCTGTTACCTCTCTCTCTACGCCTTTGCAGCGTACATTCAGAATTGGTCAGTTTTGGTGGATTTTCGCCAGCAATTTTGGGTGATGTAGATTTAATCTGATCAATTTTTATTTTAAAAGAATATATTCAACTTTACATTTTTTATGAAAATTCACAAAAATTCACGTGAATCCAATACCGTTTGCATTGATGATGTGAGGATCATTTCGGCTGTCTTAATGTTTATTGAAATTTAAAATCAGCAGGGAATTTTGCTTGTTTCCTTTGTATATGAAATAATCATAATTCTCTCTCTCTCTTTACGCTCGCGTACAAACAAAGGCATCCGAATGGAATGAAATAAAATGAGTGACATATGATTGTTCGTAAATATTTCGACTTCCGTTTTTATAATATAAAATTGCATTGGCATTCATGTGAAAAGAAAACGAATAAACCCTTCTCATTTTAAGAGCAATTGATGTTCATGCAATCGCACAGTCGACTGAAATGCTATCAGCAAAAGAGCAGTTATGGGAATGATTCAATGCGACGACTGATAATTTTAATGACGAGACTATTCAGTAGTAGTTCAATCAGTTGCTTCACTACACTTAATGCCACAGATGTTTTCTTCGCCGATTTTTTTTTTTTGCTTCATTCGTTTTGTTTATTTGTGACGAGTAATTTTATTTGCGATAGGCCGTTTAAACCGGCACATATAGAAGCAGTAATGAATGAGAATCTACATTTCGAAATCACGCAATTTGATATTTCTTTTTTATATCTACAGCTACACACACACACGGCAAGCGCGTGCCTTTTGTGCACGGCAGGGAGAGAAAAGAGGTGTAAAAGGAAATTGTAGGCTTTTTTCGTATGCGAAGTCTAACATCTGGCCGTCGGTGTATAGTTTTTTCCCATTCCGTATAGAAATCTCTGCAAAAATTCAAATTACTTTACAAAAAATACACATGCAAATTTTAAGTTATTTTTCTTTGGCGAAATCAAATGCGAATCAGCAACGAAAAACGTAGACGAAAATAACATCAACGAAATGGGCATGAAATGAAGACAGAGAAAAAACACAGCGCACACCGAACCGAAAACATCAAAATGTACGCACAGATACTGCACATTGACATCGAAGCAAGCATTTCACGAACTAGAATGGGATAGAGAGGGAAAGAGTAATGGAACCAGAAATCGCTTTGCCGTGTGATTTCAGTGTGATGTGTATCCAAGTTGAAATGGAATGGTTTTTGTTGTTGTTTCTTCCCGGTTCTGAACTACTTTATTTCCTTTTTTTGATTTTTTTTCGATGCAGTCATTTATTTTATTTTCACCTTCCGCTGCCACACAGCCGTGTAACACGGTGTATACAGTTAATCGCTGTTCAAATTCAATCCAATATTATCTATGAAAAAAATCGTATCCCTACAAACCTGTTTCAAGTCCACCGTAATGGTAATGTATTCATTTTCTGCGCCGCTATTTAGAGTTGGACTTTGCCACCATTTTTGTGATCCATCAATTACGTACTCGATCGGATGTCGTCGATCACCATCATGTGAATCGCATACACTGCATTTTGGTTTACGTTGCCGTTGGGGATGGGCATCGATTGTGTGACAAAATTCTTCACGATGATATTGACCACACGTTCCATTGGCATGCAGAATGGCTCTTGGTGCAACATTCAAAACGGGCGGCCATAGGCCAACATCGGTGCTCTCCTCATCATTGTCTTTATTATTATCAGCATCGGATGGCATGTAATCCATGTCAGACACCGCTTGAAATCCTGTAAAAATTAATTGAATCCCTTCGTTATTTCAATAGATTAGTTGTAGTCGTGAATTGGTTTCTCTTTTTCTTTAGCTCCTCTTTTCTTTTCTGCTCATTTTAGATAAAAGTAATTGTGGAACTGCAAAAAAAAGAGAAAGAGACTAAAACATGAACGGCGAATGCCTGTGTGATTAAAGTAAATTGCTTGAAATGTCTGCATAATTGAATCGCAATCTGAGATCAAGTAGTAACACACACACACACCAGATAGTCGTAGCTAAAATTACAGTACACGCAAAAAGCAAAGAGAGACTGCGGGAAATGAGCATAATTGTGATTCTTAAATGAAGCGTTCGTACAATTCCAGCGAATGTAATGGAATCCGTAAATAGTATTGTCGATAAGAACATTAAGTGTTGTAACCTCGGCGCTAACAAATCACTGTTTAAAGGCGCACAACGCAATGCCAACCAACGTTGACCATGCACTTCTCAAGTTATTAAGTTGAATTGATAATTGGTAATAAGAGATACATGAATACAAAATATTCATTGAGGTAACACTTACTGTTTTCGAGTTTTGCTTCTTATCAAACGACAAAGAGATTGAGAAAATGTTGTGTGTTGTGGTTTTCGGTGAATCTGTATTGTCGGCGGTCAATTTTGAAAGGAAAACCAATGTCGAGCCGGTCCATTCGGTTTGGCTTGCATTTCTTTGAAATGTTGCGTCGTAATGTTTTGAATATATAAATGCTTGCTTATAGATCAATGGACCAAATGTTACCGATATGCAAATTGACTTCATTCTTAAATTGATTGGCATCTGCTGTGCTTTTTCTCTTTTCATTTTTTTCTTCTTTTTGTCCATGTTGTTTATGTGATTTCGATATGCCGCATTAGCACTTCAAAAGGCGAATGAAAAATAACTCATTTTTGTTTCACTCAACTCGATTATGAGGCACACAACAACTACCGTAGAAACGAACTGAAAAAGTTTTGATGATGGATTGAAGCTAAATAATCGAATTTCACACGCAATCATGTAATTTAACGCAATTAAACGAAATCGGGAGAAGAGCCAGCCACAACGAATAACGAACGCCAACAAATATTATTACTTTGAACACTCTTGAATTGATCACAACTTTGAGAGTATTCAATGGCCAGAGGCCGAAGGGCTTCGCAGAATCAGCGAGGTTTTGTTCATCACGATGAACATTCAATATAATAAATATGAAATGATTGGACGCAACGTGAACACCTTGTGTTCTATAATTATATTTCAATATCTACGGAAAAACATGGAAAGTTTTACATTCGAAAATATATATCCTGCAAGTCTCTATGATACACACGATTTTATTGAATACAAGCAAATCAAATGCCATTGAGACACGATGTAAACACGAGATAGATCATTTTCAGAGAATGAAAAAAAAACATCCTGTTATTGGAATACAACACAAATACTGTGTACATAACTCTTTTAACATGAAATTCCATTGAATCACTTTGGATGATGTTGAATCCCTACAAAATTCAATGATTCAATCGTTTCCGGGGCAAAAAATAGATAAAATATTAAACATCTATTTCGTGCCGCAGCATCATCGCTCAACACGGCAAAGGTAGGAATGTGTGTGTGTGTGCGTGTGTTCACATAGAAAAATCGATAGATGTCGAATTAGATAGAAGTAATTGTAATAAATATCAATTAGACATACGTCTCGTTTTAAGAGGTTGGCGCTTCTTTTTGGGCCTCTTCAATTTATTGTTATAATTTTGCCGGTTTGCTTTAAACATGTTCACAGCACTCATCTCATTCTTCGATCTCCGACAATTTTATTTATTCTTTTTTTTCTCTCTCACTTTTTTGAAGAGGGTGTGCGAGAAAGAGAGAGGATGAAAAGAGCTCATTTTCGGTTTGTGTGGCACAAACTCTCAATGGAGGATCATATGTGCGTAATGTGTATCCATAGAATTTCAACGAAAACCTACTGAGCTCGTCACTTTTATATCGGCCCGAACAAGACATTCTATAGAAATTTTTATTGCCTTGAAGAAAAAAATAAAAAATAATAAGAATGACCGAATACGTTCATTCGGTGATATGGCGTAACAAAGAACAAAAAAAAAACCCGAGCGCATAAAAAGCCATTGAATAAACCGAACACCGAATAAGGAACATAAAACAAGAATTAAGAAAGAGAAAGATGAAATGAGGTTCAAACTGTCTTCTCCGTTGTATGATACAGTGCACGGTGCTGATCATTTCACTCGCTACGCAGTTTATTTAATGTTGCCCGAAGTTTCAATGAAATTTGAGATGCACATCGCCACTTTCGTTACAGGTTTGCGTCTAACTCGATTACCTCGAACATTCAAAAGAATGGTTTAAAACTCCTTTCGTTATCGGCGACTCCATTTCGAGCGAACGAAAAAAAGGGATCAAACTATTTAATATAAGATGAGCCACTCGGCTAATTGTGTAAAATTCGATAGTTTTGCGATGCTATGTCGAATGTAAGACGACAAAACTAAAGTTTCTAATGAAATTTTCCCATGTTTGGCGAAGTGAGATGCAGAGAGAGAGAGAGAGAGAAAAGAACAAAAAACAACAAAACACTCGAGGAATGTTGTATCTCCTGTTTTTGACACACTTTTTTTGTGTTTGAACGTTTGATGTCTTATCGCTGTGTAATTGGTGTTAAGAAAATAGCAAAGGACAGAAGAGACGAAACAAACATGCTGCCACTACCTTTTTGTTAACAACGCTTTTATGGCTTCAAAACATACTTCATCTACCTATCGGAAGATATTTGTTCAATGCATTTTTGCCCATGTGTTTCGTTGATGCGAAGGCAAACAGAGAGATTCCGAAATACAATGCAACTGACAACCAATTCAAACAATAGTTAATGCACACACTGTGAAATGTTCTAAGCATGTATAATTTTCATATTTTTCTTTTCTCTTCGGCTCTGCCAATCTCCTTGAATACATATGCGAGAAATATGTAAAAATGAATTGTCTTTAAATCATTTATTGAGTTCAGTATACATTTGGGCTGTGTGTGTGTGTGTGTTTTTCTGTTTGCTTCAAATTCTCGTGAATTGCATCTCTTTTTCTCTTTGCGTCTCTCTACCATTTCTAAGCCAACCGTCTTTTTTTCTATCTAATATGTAAATATTTGCTCGCAAAGAGCAATCTTGATAAACATACAAAAATGGTAAAGTCGAAAATGTTCTTAATTGAAACTGGATCGTGCACATTGAAAGTTCAGCTGAACAAGAATTTTGTAAAGAGCTGGTCGATTGGTTGGCCGCTTCGATTCAGTTAGTTCTGTTAGATTAAAGGCGCTCGAAAAAAAAAACAAGAAACTGCATTGAAAATGATAAAATTGAATCGAGAATCGAACAGAGAGAGGTGCATACATATTGGCCGAAACACAAATTAGTGCTTTGAATGTTTATTGTGAAGAATCATAAACGCAAAAGTCTCGAGTTTAATCGACAAAGATTTTCTATGGCAATTTATTTATTACATTGCAGCAAAACACAGCGATTAGAGTGAGGCTGTGTCCGATTGCAGAAGCAACACAAACCAAAAGTGCACAAAACGAATACATTGAACAAGCAATAGAGTGAGTAAGCGAGAGAGGGAGACAGAGAAATGCCTTAAATGAGGAAAATCGACTCTCGGTTGGACAACAAATTCACAATCAACTTGGTTTTTCTACGTTCCGAGAATTTATGATTATGGAGCCGGCATGATGAACTTGTACTTTCTTGTTGCTCTCTGTTCTGCTTATGTCCATATAAAATGTATTCAGTTCATACTCAGCACACGTAATATGCACATACATCGCATTGGCGAGTACATAACATACGCTTTCTTAATTTGTACTAACCACTAAATGTGCAGTGCACAAACATCGCGCGTATGCCCAAATGTGTACACACTGTATATGCCAAAACGAAAAACGCATAAGTGCGAGGATTGGCTCCACACGCTCTCGTCATCGAGGCTACGAGTTTTATTTTCTCCCATGTGAAATTGAACACATCACCATCAATTTTGGTCGTCACACACAAAACCTACACCAAACACACCACAAAACACCACACATACAAGCCAAGTGCTATAGACAAGGATAAAAACTCATTTCGCGCAGATTAAAACGGTTCATTATTGCCTCGATTGTGTAATGAGCTGAGGAAAAAAAAGAATTGATTTGTTGTCTTGACGAATGACTTACCATTTTTGTTATGACGACGACGTTGACCTCGGAGAAATATGGTTTTTTTATTGGTACTGCTACCCATTTTACGACGTCGAAAGTTTGTTCGACGCACATATTTTCGATCGACCGCATCGAATGGGATTGACTCCGCATTCGATGGTTCATCGGATAAAAATCGGTAATAATTTTGTTGCACATTGCTTTGCTGATAATGGTTATTCACTTTGCGACCTTCTAACATCACTTGATCATTTTCAAACTCATCATCGGACTGTAAATTTTCACAATAAACGATTGCATGCAAACTAACAAACACAAAAAAATACTGCCAATACATGTTTTCTTTTACACCCAGCATTTTTACCACCTTTTTTTTGCTCAACGTATTTTTCACTTTAAAGAATCTCTCAATTTTTATATCACTATTCAAACCATTTTTATCTCACCATTTTTTTTTGTGTGTCAAAAGTGACAGGTGATCACTTTGTATTAAATTGTATGATTGAAGGATTCACTGGTATATAAATCGATGCCATCCTTTTCTATATTTTTGTGTTAATACTTTAAATGTTGACGGCTTATTTTGTGAGATTATCATTTATTTAAATGAAATAAACCACAACACAACACACAAAACACTGTTAAAATCGATCACGATTCGAAAAGGACACATGTTTTCGTACACTACCGAAAATCGATGCAAATATCGAATAAAAGAACAAATGCGCAAACGCAACCGGTACCGACCGCAACTCTCTGAAGACTGATTTAAAATATGATCGAATGTACGACCATAGGCTCGCATGTTGTGGATGCACAATGCGACCGCTTGTGTTTGTGTGTATCTGTGTGCATGTCGGATGCTTGCGATCGTTGTGCACGCAGTGGCAAAATCCGATGTGTGTGCAAGACGAAAAGAGTTTGAAAAGAGAATACGCGTGATTTTTTAGCTAGATCAGGATAAATGTTGTTGTTGTTGCTGTACTGTTTGTTTCTGTGTATTCTGTTTTTCGCATTTTTCGTTGGTGAAAAAAAAAAGAGTCTTTACTCGTTTCTCGAGTCTATTTGCGTTTGTTCGTCGCCTCTTATTTATACATTGATTTTCTTCTCACCGCTATTTCACATCATTCTCTCGCTCACAACTGACTCACAGCACCATTATGAATACTTATACTGTATAGCTTGCGTTGTTCGATTTGTGTACATTTTCGCGCGCGCCCATAACATAGACTATTAAAGCATTTCGCTCGCCTTTTTTTCTATAAACTTAAATAATGTGCTGGTGCTGATATGTGTTTTTAAAGTGCGTTATGTTTATCAAAAAAAGAAAAGAAAAGAGGAGAGCGACAGAGAGAAAATAGAGAAAGACCGGCTGAGCAGAAACCGCTACCGTTGACTTGTTGAGTGAATGAGAGACTTTTATGAATCTAATGTTCTTGGCCGATGTGAAATTCAAACTCAAATGCCCTTCGAATGCGTACACTTTTTTTTTATTTCTACCGTTGAACTTCTACACCATGAATTACGATTACAACTACCAGTCATTATTTATATACACTTTTAGTAACATACATAAGCCGAGGTTTTGTTTACAAAACGGTTCTTCACTCACAAATGCTAGAAGATTGTTTTCTTTAGTGTGTTAGTGTTTCGTTTTTTTTTTTTTCGTTTGAAAAATCACTTGTACATTACAAGTTTCAAGTGAAAAATAGACTCAACGCAAATGCACTGAATGTCAGACACATCACAGAACATTCTTCAATTGTATTCCATTATTATTCTGTCACACTCCTTTGAAGAACATATTTCATGGTGTTTAGAGGAGTTAAAGAAAAGAGTTGGAATGCCTTACACAGACATTTTCTTTAACTTGAACAAATTTATTTCTAATTTTAGTCAGAAATCTGTGATTGAACTCCACACCTTGTTGAAAGCACCGCAGACACAAACATTATTTACATTTTGTACAAATATATAATCTATTTCGATTTGCCGCCGCATCGCCGTGACATTCAAACAAAAAATCTATGAAAAGCGGAAGCATTCATCAAGTTATTGTCATGAAAATCATAAACTCTTGTTCGTGTATTTTATACGATCGTGAAACATTTGCGACTGACATTGGAATGCATTTGGCACGTTATAAACAATAAATAAATCCAATCGGATATCACATTTTGCAGCAGACGATCGTTTTTATTTCTCTCTTTTTTTAGGCAAATATTTATTTAACTTTTCGAACAAAATATTTTCTCTTTAATCAAGAGAGAAATGAATTCGAATGCAACTGATCGTTATCTCCCCATCAGCGGAGGATGTAAAACATAGAAAATGTAATTTTTGAACAAAGAAAAGCCTAATTAAAATGACTGGCTAGACATAATTTGTCAAAAGTGCTGCTGTTATTTCAAATCATTGAATAAAAACGATCAAATGTTTGTATAAACGCTGTGCTTTACCATTTGTTTATATAGCTAGTGAATATATTTATTCATTTTATAATATGTTTCTGAAATAAGTAGACGAAGGCGAATGCGAAATCTGTTGGAAAATGATCTACTCGGCTATTTAAAAAGTAAAAAATGTGATGATAAGATCTATTTCATATAGCTCGCGTTAAATTCTGTCAACTTCTTTATTTTGCTGGGAATAATGATAGTTCATTTTCAGTCAACATTTTTATAATATGTTCTCGTAGGAACAGCGATTGGTCGGCGCCCGCCTTTTTGTACAATTTTAATGGTGTAACCCTCGTATTCTTTCCAAGTATGACGGTTGTTGCATATGCGATTGCAAATAGACCACATGAAACACCATCATTTTTCATTGTTTTCGGTTTGACAAATTGAACACTTTTGTGATCGGGACATAAAATACGAAGTGACTTCTTTTGATTGTCATGCAAATACGTTCGGGTAAATTATTATAAACGTATACTTTCTTCTCTTTGTGTTTATAGTGAACACAAATGTAGTGGCCAATGGCATTTTCATCATTCAGTTGACCGCCGTACATTATTTTTACATCATCTTCACTGAATTTTGCATGAATGTTGTAGTTTTCGGGTATTTGAACGAAATTCACACTAAGTAATGTGTATTTTTTTGTTTACAAAAGTTTTTGTGCACGATTTGCAAAGGCAACGAAATAATTTATAGCGTCGTCGGAAAGAAATGTCTTTGCAGTCATGATTTCATTGAATGTGGTTGCATCATTCTGATCTCTGAAATGGAGTGGAGTTTAAAAGGTAAATTTAAAAATGTTTTTAGGCATGATTGGTCTAACATAATTTCCACTGTTGCATAGAAAGCGGTTTTTTCGTTTTCTATTCCAACCCACAACTGAATAAACGTTAAATTAATAAATTTATTTGTTATTTTAAATTTTCTTTTTTTTTATTTATTAAATTTTCTAAGAAATGGAAAAGAACTCACAAAAAAAAAGTGTAGAGTCAGTTCTTTGAACAAATTTAACTTTGCCATTTCAGTTTCTTTCAAATACAGTTATGCGAAGGATATCGCTGCCAAATCCATTTAATTGATTTGCTTTTATACCTCTCGAAATAGATGAAGTTGCTTAATTTGTTGGCGATAGACGCTTTCATTTACATAACAGATAATGATTAAAAAATATAATGTGACATACTGAATTTGCATTTAAAAATGCAATATAAAAAAATGATTATAAAATGTGAATAAAAATGATTTATTCACATTTCATTGCTATTACAAATATATTTTGCAACAGTTTCCACCTGAAAGAAAATGTCAACTTTCATCTCTGCTGCTTATTTCAAATTAATAAGTTATTTGTAATCCGCTATCAAAATTCAAAAGAAAGTTAAAAAATGTGCAAAGCCGCGAGATGTTTCACAATGACTATTTTATGAAAATCCTTACCATATCGAATATTTCTTCTATTCAAAATACGTCATAACCTTGAAAAGAGTCTTTCACATTTCAATGATACAGTTTTCTTTAAATCCAAATATTGAATTATGGAAAATTACAATACTTAAACAGACTATATTTGGCATAGAATGAGTTTGGAATAATGGAAAGAAACAGTTTCTGTTTGGTTTGTTTTTGAAAAGAAAGTTTTCGGATGCACAGTCATTCTTTAAAGAATTAATATTATTGATGATATGTATTTTATTGTTTAATAAAAATATTTAGACAGAATTTCGATTATTGATAGAGAAACGTTGTCATTTTTGTGGAAAAAGTGTAAAATTCCGGCTAACCAGCATATGGAAAAGATGACCCCTTAAGTTTTTGGACCGATCACTACCTTCTTCCGTATTCAATTTGAGTTTATAATATTGAGGATTTTTACCAAGTATGACTGTTGTTGCATAGGCTATGGCAAAGATGCCAGATAATCTTTTATCTTTAGAAGTTGTCAATGGTTTTGTAAATTTAATAGTAAATGGTTTACTAAAATCAAGCGATGGATATAAAACTTTCAAGGTTTCCTGCTGATCATCATATAAGGTGTCTCCTGCCAAGCTATCGTAAACTTGTATCCTGTTTATGACATGTTTGTAATGAGTACAAACATAGTGACCGGCGCCATTAATAAATATTTGAACATCATCTTTTTTTGATACAGCGTGGATTTTACACTCTTCCGGCACTCTCAATATATTAATATTGAGCATTTTGAACTTTGACTGTGCTTCGTTAACAAATTCAACAAAATGGTTAATGGCTTCATCACCCAAATACGCTCGTGGAGTCATAATTTCGTTCATTATGTTTCTTCTTTTTCCTCCTCCTCCAATTGGCCTTTAAAATATTTTTTTTTTCTTTTTAATCACATTAAATTAATATTTTGTTTTTAATATGTCTTACGCTACTGAGCTTTCGGTCTCAGATGGATTTTCACTTGGAACTATTTCGGGAGTTGTGATAGGGAGCGTTTCCGAAATTTCACTATGTACCATCTCCGGAGTAGAAGGATCCGTTTCTGGCGTTGTGGTAGGCTTCTTTTTTGGCGTTGTAGTGGGTTTCTTTTGTGGGGTTGTGGTAGGCTTCTTTTGTGTCATTTGAGTGGGCTTCTTCTGCGGCGTTTGGGTAGGCTTGTTTGGTGGTGTTGCAATTGGTTTCGTTTCTAGAGTTGTTAATCTTGTGCTAAAATTAAAATGTGATTTGAAAATTGATTTTATTTTGCAAGTATAAAGACTTACATTGGGGCGCCTCCAGAAGGGAATAATGAAAACTTTCCCGTTGTAAGCATTTCAAAAAGGTGATTTCTTAAAGTCATAGATTGATCACCCGTACTCAATTGAAGTTTATAAGTTGCTGGATCCTGTCCGAATATAACTGTTGTTGCGTAGGCTATGGAAAACAGCCCACATGAACTTGCATCGTTTTGTCTTGTCTTCGGTTTTATATATTTCACTGAACTTGTTTTTGTAAAGTTTACCAATGGATATAAAACCTGTAAAACTCGCTTTTGTCTAAGATACAACTTGGATTGCAAGCTATCATAGACGTGAACTCTTTTTAGTTCATGTGAGTAATGAACACAGATATAGTGCCCAATTATCTGTTCCCCTCCAACATCTCCGCCAGATCCACCATACATTATTTGTACATCATCTTCATAGAATTTTGCATAATCGTTACACTCACTTGGTATTTGTGTCACGGTAACAGGAATTAAATTATATTTTTTTCCAATTTCTCGCATTTTCTTGTTAGCAAAATTAATGAAATATTGAATGGTTTCGTCACCTAATATCCGCCAAGGAGTCATAATTTCTTTCAATATTTCATCACTTGACCCTCTGACAAAATTCAAGTATGATTAATTTTTTTTTTATTCAAAATTATTTTGATGAAATCGAATGGATAGTTTAATAAGCCTTACACTTCAGAGTTTTCAGCAGCCAAACTGATATTATTTTCGATGCCTATTCCAATTAACAACTGAATATTTATGATTAATTTAAACAAAAATGGAATGAAACACATACGCAACACTCACAGTGAAAAAAAGAAACGTCAATCCATGTTTTAAGATATTAAACAGTATCATTTTGTTTTATTTTGAACTTTTGAACAAAGCGAAATTCTAGTGATGTTTTTAAAAGACGTCTTGCTACTAAAAGTTTCAGATAAATTCAGTTTAGCTTTTATACGTGTCAATAAATGAACAGAATTTATGACATTTTATAAACAGACTCGATATATTATCAAGAAATATTCATAAATTCGTTATAACAATTTTAATTGTTAGGTGCTGATCTGAAAAAATGTTCTTTAGAGATACATTTACCAAATATTCAATAAGTACAAGATCAATGCACGCAAAGACATGTATTTAGCTTCTTTCTTTTCTCGATTTTTTCGAACTAAATAAAATGAATTCTTCTAATTCTATTCATTTGGATCAATTTCCACTTTATTACTCTTTTTTCTTTATTTATTGAAGAACTTTGGAATATTATCTTGCATTTTATGGCAATAAATTCTCATTTTCACATACACCTTGTATTGGTTACAACATCATTTTCATGGAAATCCAAGGAAAGCCAACTTTTTTATTTTTCGCTGTAAAATACTGGAAATATATGAAAATTAGGAATTAATGATAGAAAAAAACGTTTTAGACTCGTGTACAAATTGAATAAAAAAAAGAAATGTCAGTCTAACATTCATAATAATGTTTACAATTTTGGATAACGGCAAAGGAAAAAAATGACAAACAAAAATGACGTACAAATGTCGCGTTCGATTAATGTCTGATAAAAAAATTTCCATGAGAAACTGTTGATATTTTTACTTTGCTGCAAGGACCGGTTCGTGCATATTTCCATGCTTGCCTAGATACGCTAGGTAGCATAGATATGCCAAGCATAGCGGCAAATGCAACCGACGCATCACCGTCCACTCTGTATGAACATACACATGTTCGTGTATGCAGGCGGCCGTGCTTTGAGAGACGTACGCATAAGATATAGCTCGAATCGAATGGCGACGGATGCGTTGCGGCTTGAGTCTCCGCTATGCTCAGCATAGCTATCTTGCATAGAAATATGCGCGAACCGGTCCCTGCTTTGCTGTGAAAGCCACGTTTACATTCACACTGACATAACTTGAAATGATACAATAATTTTTGTACAGATGTGATATATAGAAATGATTACCTTGGGTTTGGAAATAAAATCATGAATGGATTGCGACAGACAAGTACAGACTTTGGGCAAGCCTTTGTAATCATACGACATAATTCCAGCAAATTCATTCTGGCTTGTTACAATCGGTCCTATTAAATTGACATTTACAACGATTTAATGTTTGATTTCACAATGGTACAAAATATTTCCAACCTCCAATCCAGCCTGTACTGATGCGATTGTTTCCAGTTTGCACACAAAATTGCTTTCCATCTTCTAAGAATTTTTGATTTTTTTTATAATACTGATGGCGGCAAGAAACAAAGTTGGAAACCGTCGTATTAATATAACCCAATTCTTGACATGAAAAACCTAACATGGTGACCGGAGTATTTTGAAAAATTGTATAACTGCTTGCCACCATTTTAATTCCCTTAGCTGCTGCGAATGGCTTTTTTAGTAGAATTACCGCCACGTCATTCGCATGAGCATCACTCTCATCGTATTGAGGATGTATGAAGACTTCCGACTTCATGTTAATATCAACCTTGAACTTATTGTCTTTGGTCGACAAAGTATTGAAGGACAAAAAAGCTTTTTCACTATTAGCCAAGTTTTGAGCGGCCGTTACGATTTTTGTAGGGGATAGCACAGTCGCAGTGGAAATGCAAAAAGAATCATCACCCTTAATCTTGTAGAATAATTTTGCCACGAACTTATGTGATTCGTGAGTAGTTTCATCAATTTTACCAACAGTTATGGTATCAACGATCGGTTCGTTTTCGGTGTAATTTTCACGATAGACCGACATGGTACTTGGTTGTGGTACTGGGATAATTGGTTCTCTGAAAAATATTCAAACGTTTTAATAAAACTGAAATAAAATTTTATTTAGCAACTACTAAGTCTTACGTTGCGGGGTCTCCTTCAGGGAATATTGAAAAATTCTCAGTTTCTAGCATACGGATAAGGTGTTTCCTTAAAGACACAGAGTAATCAACACTCGACTCAAAAAACGGTTTTGTTGTACTCAATTGGAGGATATAGGTGTGTGGGTCCTTTCCAAATATGACTGTTGTTGCATATGCTATGGAAAAGACTCCGCACGAACTTGCATCATATTGAGTTGTCTTGGGTCGTATAAAATGCAATGAATTGGTGAGGTCAACCTTTGGATATAAAACTTTTAAAACTTCCGTTTGCCTACTATTCAAATTGGTTCTCAATAAGCTATCATAAACGTGGACTTCTTGTTTTTCATGTAGATAATGAACGCAAACATAGTGACCAATGGCGTTTTCACCTATAGATGTCCGAGTATTAATAAAATATCATGATATCTTAAAAGTTACTACTGACGAATGCTTCATTAACTATTAAAACAAATCTTAATACGAGTATCAACCTGAGTAGCATGTATCAAGATCGATTATGATTCGGCGTATCACAATGAGTATCAAGTATCATGATACCGAAGTGAATACGCGCCATTTGCAATTTTGCATGGGTTTTTAGCAGAGTTTTGCTCAGCGCTGCTGCCATCCACAGCATATTAAAATATCTTGCTGAGAATGCGTTGTCCGTCGCATGCGAATGTACGTGACAGTTTTTACATCACAGCGAACAACAATACATGGATTGTTCTCTATACAATCGTTTGAATGTTTTGAGTCACATAAGCGTGAAGAGGACAATGCATGCATTCTTGTTCGCTGTGATGTATAAACTGCCACGCAAATTCGCATGCGACGGACGACGCATTCTCAGCAAGATATTTTAATATGCTGTGGATGGCAGCAGCGCTGAGAAATACTCTGGTTTTTAGTTTGATTGTTTGTTAATAGAATGTCGATTATAAACATTCATACAAGGGTGAGTGAGACAGCAAAAAAAAAAAAGATTTATCAAGCACGATTTGGGTGACAGAGATGACAAATTTTTACGTTCTGATCACACCAGATGATGTAGACCACTTAGTTGTGTTCGAGAGTTGAGAAAAAAATTGTATTTTTTTCACTTTTTGTGCTCTATACCGAGTCTCCGAGAGTTTCTCCGTATCATAATCGATCTTGATACTTGATACTCATATTAATACTCGTATCAAGATTGGTTTTAATATTTAATAGCGTCTTAATAGAATATCATCATGATACAAAATGTATTAAGATCAGGGCTTTCAGATTTGAAATCAAATGATTTGTAAAATCAACAAATCATGGAAAAAATCATGATTTGAAATAAACAATTCAAATCAATTAAATCATTTGATTTTATTTGGATATTGATTATATTTTAAATCACATCAAATGATTTGATTTATTTGAATAGTGTACATCAAATCAAATGATTTCAATTTTTATATTTATTTGATAAACAAATCAAATCAATCAGAATATACTTTAAAACATTTTTTCCATGTACAATTCATTTTTGTCACACTTTACAGTCTTTTAGAATTAATAATTTTTCGAACATATCGTCATTCATAGACTGCCACTGTGGTCGTAAAATCCATAACAAATCTTTTTTTTTTTTTCAGAGATGATTTTACGACCACAGCGGCAGTCTATGAATGACGATATGTTCGAAAAATTACTAATTCTAAAAGACTGTAAAGCGTGACCAAAATGAATTGTACATGGAAAAAATGTTTTAAAGTATATTCTGATTGATTTGATTTGTTTATCAAATAAATATAAAAATTGAAATCATTTGATTTGATGTACACTATTCAAATAAATCAAATCATTTGATTTGATTTAAAATATACACGTCCATCCAAATAAAATCAAATGATTTAATTGATTTGAATAGTGTACATCAAATCAAATGATTTTATTTTCGATTTTGATTTAAAATCCACTTTTGAAAGCCCTGATTAAGAATCGGGTTTGGCACATCTATATTTTCACCTCCAACAACTCCACCTGCGCCACCATACATTATCTGAACATCGTCTTGGTCAGTTTTTGCAAAATGCTTGCACTCATCGGGAAATTGTGAAACAGTTACTTCCAGCAAATGGTATTTTTTCTTAATTGAAGGCATTTTCATCTGTGCTTCGTTTACAAAATTTATAAAATAGTTGATTGCATCATCACTCAATAATCGCCAAGGTGTTAAAATTTCGCTGGTTATCTCTGTTAATTTATTACTTGGGCCTCTGATAAAATTTAAATATGATCATTTTGGTGAAATCGAATCAAATGTTCAACTGGAATGTCTTACGGTTTTGAGCTACTGGCGGCCAAACTAACATTTTGTTCGACATCAATTCCAATCCACAGCTAAGTATGGTAAAAAAAATAATTATTTTGTGGTAAATGCAATAAAATACTCGTATGTCTACACTCACGATAAAAAAGAGAAACTTCCATCCGTGTTCAATAACATGAAACTTTATCATTTTCCTGAACTTCAAAAGACACTATTCCACGTAGCAAAAGTTTAACCTAGACTTGCTTTTATACGTGTTAACTACAGAATCGAATCTACGGTTTTTATACACAGACTCACTGTAGTCTATACTACAGAAATATTCATGACATGTTTGTAGTTATTTTAATAGGTAAATAGATATGAAAATGTGTTTTTGGGCAATTGTTGAACAAATTAAAAAGATGCTGTTTATTGTTTTCAATATTAACGCGATGATATAAAGCAATTGGTATAGCAGACTCATTACTAGATTATCCAAGTGCCACTGCTGGACAAAAAAAATGTTTGGCAAAAAATCATATCTCCCTAAAATCGTCAAAAATATTTTTGTTTGAAAGGGAATCATATAAGTTCCTTTGGCAATATTTCAGTATTGTCATTACTTTTGATACGGGTTATAAAACTTTTCGATATATTTTAGAGGTGTATTTTTTTCAATGAAACAGGGCCACTGCAAGACCAATTCCCCTATATTTTTCTGACGTGGCGAAGAATTACTCACACAGAAGTAAGCTTATACTATGAATCTGTCAACGTCATGCAAACTGTGTATGTGGCGTCATAATTTTATCAGGTACTGCCATAAAAAGGATCATTCTATTCCAACAGATTTGTTTTGTGTTTATATCGATTTTTAATTCACTATTCAATTTTTATTAATTATTAAAGAATCAAATTTGATTTTCTTTATATTTCGCTATAAAATACTGGACAATTTTTGAAATTAGAATTAATGAGCAAAAAACGTTTTAGACGTGTACACTAATTATTGAGTAAAAAAAGTAATGTCAGTGTGTATATGAATAATAATGGATTCCAAACTAAAATATTTATGAAAACACACATTCATAGTACTCTTATGTCAAGTACCATATTTAAAATTTTGGAAAACGGCAAATGAAAAAAATGTGTTCGTTTCATTTGTAACAGAAGGGGCCACGTTTACATTCACACTGACATCACTTGAAATGATAATTTTTTTTGTACAGATGTGAATAGAAATGTTTACAGAAGCTTATGTAGATAATAAATACACACGTAGTGCCCCTCCGACATCTCCGCCTGCGCCACCATACATTATCTGGACATCATCATCATCAACTTTTGAATGATTCTTGCACTCATCGGGAAATTGTAAAACAGTTATTTCGAGCAATTTGTACTTTTTCTTAATTTCGGACATTCGCTCCTGTGCTTCGTTTGCGAACCCTTTTTGGCATCAGAATTTCATGCAATATATTTATTTTTTGGGTTTCTGTGTATTCGACATTTGTGACATTTTCTCAACATCTACTCAAATCCACAGCTGAATATTTTAAAAAAATCGACTAATTTAAAAAAAATGGAATGAAACACATACGCAATACCCACAATGAAGAGAAGAAACATCAATCCATATTTAAAGATATTAAACAGTATCATTTTTGAACTTTTGAACAAATCGAAACTCTAGCGATGTTTTTGAACGACCTCTTTCGACTTAAACTTTCAGTTAAACTCCATTTAGCTTTCATGCGTATCAACAAATGAACGGAATGTATGACGTTTTATAAACATTATTATCTAGAAATATTTATGAATTTGATATAATAATTTCTTGAATAATTTTAACTGATAGATACTGAGACGAAAAACAACATCTGTTTTAAAGATATATTTACAATTAATTATTAATCAAATCGAGAGACTCTTTACTCGATTTTTTTGCTTAAAAAAATAACTTTTACGGTTTTAGTTCAACACAAACTTCATTTTTATTAAAATTAAAATTTATGTAGCTCATTACATGACAAACTTCCACTTTCTTTTACTTTTCAAAGTGGTTATACTTTCACCTCATATGTTGAGAGTGTTTCTGTGGTGTGCTTCATTTCTTGTTATATTTCCGTATGAAACCCTTTGGAGTCTTAATGAACTCAGAATTTGATCCTGTGATTAAAGTACACACTTCTGGGAGGCCATCATAATCGTAGCTCATTATGCCAAGTAATTTATTGTCGCTTGTAACAACCGCTCCTGCAAAGAATTCATATTAAAATCGTTGTTTCAATTCAGGATAAATATTCTCAACCTCCAATCCATCCTGTGCCTATATAATTGTTTCCTGTACTGACACAAATTTGTTTTCCTTCTTCTAACACTCTATAGTTATTCCTTTCCCAGTATGAATATCGGCAAGTCACAAAATCAGCAACCTTCGTATTAATATAACTCAAGCGACTATTCGAAAAACCTATAGAAAAAACCGCAAAGGTGCTCTTCATAAAATATTATGTAATATATATTTATGAATTAGTATACCAAGCATGGTGACCATGTCATTTTGCTTTGCTGTGTAGTTGCTGGCGACAATTTCGATTTCGCTTACGTTTGACAATGGTTTTTTAAGAACAATAACGGCTAAATCATTTGCATGAGAAGAATTTGCATCGTATCCAGGATGAATATAAATTTCTGACTCAGAAACGTCAATCTTCTGATTACTACTAAAATCTATAGTTTCATCTGTGTCTAAAGTATTAAATGCCAATGTCACCGAGTCCCTATTGACCACATTTTGAGCCGCCGTTACGATACGATTAGGCGATACGATAGTTGCGCTGGTCATGTATAAAGAGTCATCACCATGATTCTTGTACAATAAGACTGACATGTATTTATGTGAATCAATATCATTAACCAAACCAAAAGTTGTATGCGTGGCTTCGCTTTCCGTGTTACTTTCACTGGGTTGTGACCCAGACCATGAAGAAGTAGCTTCCACCTTTTTTTTTGTTTTCTTGACCGTCGATCTGCTGCTTGATCCTCTGATAAAATGAAAATGTTCCCATTTTAATTCCAAATTGTTTATTTTTATGTGGTAAATCTTACGTTTTTGAGCTTTTGACCGGTTTTGAAGTTGTGGTTTCGATCGTTTTGTTTGGTTTTTGGACCACCGACACTGGGGTTGACCTTGTGATAAAATTTAAAAAATTTGATTCATTTTAAAGAAACTGAAAAGATATTTTGCAACTAGAAAGCCTTACATTGGGGCGTCAGCTGAAGGGAATATTGAAAAATTCCCAGTTGTAAGCATATTAGAAAGGTGGGCCCTTAACGCTGTTGATTGGTCAACACCTTTTCCAACACTTAATTGAAGTTTATAAGTTGCTGGATCCTCTCCAAATATAAGTGTTGTTGCGTAGGCTATGGAAAACAGCCCACATGAACTTACATCTTTTTGTCTTGTTTCCGGTGTTATACGTTTCAATGAACTTAGTTTTGTAAAGTTGACCAATGGATATAAAACCGGTAAAACTTTCATTAGTCTACGATACGTGTTGAACTTGGATTGCAAGCTATCATAGATGTGAACTCTTTTTAGTTCATGTAAGTAATGAACACAGATATAGTGACCGACTATGTGTTCCCCTCCAACATCTCCTCCAGATCCACCATACATTATTTGTACATCATCTTCATCGAATTTTGCATAATCGTTACACTCCTCTGGTATTTGTGTCACGGCAACAGGAATTAAATTATAGTTTTTTCCAATTTCTGACATTCTCTGATTTGCAAACTGAATAAAATATTGAATTGCTTCATCGCCAAGCACAGTAAAGGGTGTTATAATCTCGGTCATTATGTTTCTTAATTGTTCGTCTGTGTGCATAGCAAAACTGGCATTTTTCTCAATATCTCCAATCCACAACTGAATATTTGAGGAAATTAATCGATTAATGCGAAATAACAAACTCGCATACAAGCATACTCACAATAAAAAAGAGAAATTTCCACGCATGTTTTAAAATATTAAACTTCATCATTTTTCTAACTACGAGAGACACTATACTGACACTTGAAGTTTCAACTCAATTCAGTTTGCATTCATACCAATCCCTATTTATATAGGAGGTTTTTATAAAGAAATTCAAGAAAAATGTAAGAATTTTTTGGAATATTTTTTATTTAAAATGAGTTGAAAAACAATTGTGTTTATTTAAGATAAATGTGTCATTCGATTAATAAGTAATAGCTAAAACACATTTAGAGTTTTCAAAAGTTATTCAATGGATAAATGTTCGGTCTGAAAAACACGAGAGCCATTCGCTCAACAGACGATATAATATTGGTTTTTCCTCCAATAAATACATATTACATGTCCTTGTGCGTCATATTTTTGTTTGTTTTGTGTATTTAATTCGAAAATTTACAAGAATCGGAATTTCGCCAAAATGAAATTACATTCGTTCACACATTTCCTAAATAAATAAAATGAGAACAGAAAGAATTGTTTTTGCTTTCAGCGACAAGCAAAATATTAAAAGTTCAAAAAAATAACTAGATAAAAGACTTCTTTGGTTAACTTTCGTACATCTATTTGAGCTCAAAACAGCTTCGTAAACTCATGTTAACGAATGAAATGGATCGTCTCAACTTTGATGTTGTTGAAATGAGAGACATTGAATTAAATACAAATAGAGAACATTTTATCAAGTAAACTTATTATGCCTCTACTAAATACTTGCTTTTCTGCCTTTGAACAATTTATCCGTATTGTCTTTGAAATGGAGATTTTGAATTTCATTCAATAACTTTGATATAATTTTAAAAAATAATAATATTTATATTATGAAAAAATACTAGTCTATGTCATTTACTTCTGAAAAATTACGTGAGTAGAAAATTCTCAGTTAGGAAGAGCAGAAAAACACATGTGTCGATAAATATTCAGTCTTTATGACAATTAGAAGAATTTCAATAACAAAATTCCATTTGAAATAATGATGAATACGTGTAATGTGTGTCAACCTCATCATTCTCTGATGAACGATAAAATTTGAATTCATAAAAAAAATATATCTCGAAATGGAAAAAGGGTTCGCTTTTACATGAAGTTAGAAAAAACCCATAATTCAGCATTGGATCCGTGTCTGGCATTGTGTATTCGACAGAGGAAGTCGATCGAAAGCGATATGGTGTGTTCTTTGTTTTTCGCAACTCGTAAAACAGTATCGATCCGAAGTGCAAGGAATGGAAATATGAACGAATGTACGCGATGAAGTCGATTCGATCGAAGTTGCGGTCACATTAAAATTCAAATGATGCAATCGAAAAAATTGAGTACTTCACTTTCAACCAAATGTGTACTGCGTAAATTTACTGCTAAAAATGTTGATCGTATAAATGCCAACATTTATATGCAAAACAGTTGAACGTTATCGACTGTCGGTGGTTGAGCTGTGCGTGCACATGGAGCATGGCGTTGTGATTTAGCATATGCCCAATCCAGCGATTCTAAACGAAAATAATGTGTTTATCATGGAGAATATATCTTGTCGCTTCTATTTTATGACTGCTCTGGTATTTTCGAGCCGCTTTTGTCACCCGCTCTCTACCATCACCAAAAGCGACAACAATGGAAGAGGGCAAGAGAGGGAGAGAGAGAGCAGGAAGAAAAAACATAGCGGCAAAAACAATTGCATTCGAACGCTTCTGCATTTTGTTTATTTTATTGTGTTTTCCTTGAATCAAATACATTTCGCTTTTCACTAGACAAGAGATGTTATTAGATTGCTGTATAAAATATGCAGACACTTGGAAGACGAAAACTACGCGTACAATATATATATATATATATTCATGCAATCTTCGGTGTGATAAGTGCGAAATGAGAAAACGTTATCGATTTTACAATGAAGAGACAGAGAGAGAGAGCGAGAGAGGCATTCAACAAACGAAAAACGTAGAACGCATCCACTTTTGTTATTGTGCGCCGTGATTTTATGTACGTATAATGCAAATGAGATGGATGTGAAAGAAGAACGATGGAATACACTCACTCTCTCTCTCTCTGTATGTGTGTGATAAACGAACAAGCAAGAATCGTGTGCAAAATGTCCCTGGATCGTTCGTTGTTTTTTTTTATTCGTGCATGGGATTGTCTTCTCCTTCGTTCACCGTGTGACACATATGGTTAGAGAAAGAGAATGTGTATATGTGGAGGAGCCAAGCTGAATCACAATCGTAGTTTATGCGAAAGGGGGATTGAATTGTTTTTTTTTTTTCTTAGAAGAATAAAAAAGCAGCCAGCATATGGAATGAAATGTCATAAAATTGCAACTCCAAAGAAAATGAAAGAAAGAAGAAAAAAAAACGCTCCAGAAATTGACAGAACAAATGTTCACACCTGCTACTTGTTTTGCTTGCTATTTGCATTACTCAAACTTTACGAACAAAAGAAACCAATTTCTCCCACTCCACTCACTACTTTCTTTTCTTGTATTTTTTGCCAAATGTGAAAATTTACACAATCAATTTCTTGGCATCCAACTAAATTGCTAAAACGAATGAGAAACTAAATTGAATTTGCCATTGTTCATATACAATGTATTTTCTAATCTCAAAACTTTTCCATCTTCGATCGATTGTGATGAGGCTCCGTTTGTGTGTGTTCGCTTTAATTGCGTAATTTTGCAAATTTGCAACGAAGTAACAACGAAAAACCAATTCCGTTTACACCAAATATTGATGTATCATTTCTTTTCAATAATAACTTAATCTCAAACTGTATTGAGTTCACTCTCTCGAGTCGATCGCCTTTTTCCATCGATGAAAACGTTGATTTTCGTTTTTCGTTTTGGGAATTGCAACAGCGTTTACACCGTTGATACAGCGCCAACTAAAATGAAATTTGCATATATTGATCTTCTGTCGTTTTAATATTCACGACACATACAGAGACGCACACAGAATCGAATGGCCCAAAGGAAATTTTAATACTTATTGCTTAATAATAAGCTGCGGTTCGTTGTAATCGAAAAAGAAAACTCGTGTTTTAAACGGTTATCCACTTGAAAGCTCATTTCAATGCATATTATATTTTTTTTGTTTCTCTGCTTCTCCACGTTGTAATTCTGTGCTGAATAAGAGCAATGGCTTTGACGTTTTTTGTCCTATAGCCACTTTCTTTTTTTTCAAATTCCTTAATTTAAGCAACTGAAGTAAGAATCCGGCGAAGAAGAAAAAATACGCTTAAATGAGTGGCGGTTTTTTTTATTCAAGAGTTAATCGAAGCGAATGCCATAAATTGCATACCATTACATTATCGGTGCTATTCCGTTCACCCATGTAGCACTTTGTACTTTGCAACAGTGCTGAGGACAATGTATTTCGATTTACTTTTAAAATCGCAATTGAACTATATAGATTATTCGGGTTACTGTTTGGGTTTTGCTTTCATCGACAGTTTTATACAGCGATTATCATAGGCTATTTTCCACTCACGTTCAAATACTTTTACAGTAAATTGAACAAAAATCGTAGCGAGGGTGTTTTTTTTGTTGTTGTTGTTCTGCGCGCGTACTCATTCTTTTGTCGATTCTTCGTTCGGTGCCGTGTGAGTGGATGAGCGTGTGTATATATTTTTGGTTCAGCTGTTGCTGATTGCATTTTGTCGTTCCGCCACTCTTGTTCGCATTTTAAAAAGTTTCCTTTTTTGCATAGATACTAAACTACATTGGAATGGAAATATTGCAGATGTAATAAATCTTAAATAGAAATGAAACGACAGTAATAAATGTATTTCTTTTTTTTATTGTTTATTTGAAATGTGAGAGTATCGTTCGGTTCGATTGCGGTGTTACGATTTTCCCAGTGCAGTCTCTTTCGCTCTCTGTTTTGTATGTGGGTTTCATTCTTCTGCTTTTCTCCTCTCGGCTAATGTTCCATTTCAGAATTTTCAGTGTTTTAAGTATCATATACTCTTCTGCATGGTGGTAACTGAATATGTGCCGATTTTATCCGAAACTTTTCGGCAGAGCCGAGTCTGCCGAGAAGGGTAAGAATGGCATCTTGAAATACTCAATACAAAAATTGGCAGAATGACGGGTTTCAAATCATCATGATTACTCCTCGTTTATTTTAAATTGGCAACCATTTCTTGAAAATTCAATTTTATTTAACATTTTTGATAACATGATTCGACCGGAGTCAAGTGCACCGTAATAGTTTCAATGATTTCACGTACAATAATTTATTACTGTTTTTGTCTCTTCTCTCTCTCGCTCGCTCGCTCGCCGAAATCACTGATGGAAATATTGATAGGGGAATTCTTAAGAATCAGCCAATTCATCTGAATTGAATGTAGTAAACAAAGGCATTCATATGGATTGTTGATGTTGATAAGAGACATTTTTATGCAACGCGCATATGTGCTCTGGATTTTTATTCCACTCGATTTGTATGCTTTGATTTTTTTTCGTTGGTTATTTGCATTTAAACAATGTCACGTCTTCAAAATAAAAAAAAGCGTAACACAATTTTGAATTGATGCAAACGATGACTCTGGAGAACAATTCAATGTCTCAAATCCGGTGCGTTGAATGGAATATGTTCGGAAATGTTTCTTGTAAATTGTAATGATCGTCATTTCATTTTCAATATTATAAATATTTATTGGTTGCATTGCATGGTTCTTTCTTATCCTCATCCTCTTTCGCAAATTTCTTTCCCCAAAAAACAGTAACCGAGGCGATAGATAATCAATCCAAAAAAGGGAATGGTTGAATAACAATTTTCCATTCCACAACAAAACAAATCGTTACAATAAGTAATTCGGCATTAGTGGCACTCTCTCTTTCTCGTTTCGTATGCATACGTATATGTCGATGGTATAGGCTCATTAAATACTTCTATTTCGAGCGAAAGGTATCTTTCAACTGTCACTTGTTATGTGCGATATTTGTTTCTCTTCCTCTTCCTCATGCGTTCGGACTCCGTAACAGGCCATGTGACTGGGTCTCTTTATCAAGATATCATTACATTTTAAATGCACCCCAAGAGAGATTTTCTCGGCCATTATCCCTTATTTTTCCACTTAAGCTTTTGTTTAACAAGGGTTGAAATCAGGACTCAAGAAAACTTTTATTGCCACTTTCGAACACAGAATAAAAAAAAAGCGTCAAGAGCCAAGTCGAACAAAAAAAAAATACCACTCACACACACAATGAACTTAAGACGAATTTACTTCGAAAATACCGAACACTTGTTCCCTAAATGTGTCCATTTCCACGCGCGCACACAAGCACACATGCTCGTTTTCCATGCCACTGCATTGAAATCAACCCCCGTTACTCGTCTTTAAATAAGTGTAATGAATGTTTTGTGCATTCTTCAGTTGGGTAATTCTTTTTATTTGTCAGGAACTTATACCAGAAGGTAAGAGAGAACAACAAAAAAACTTTCTTTTTATTATCACTCTGAACAACGAACAAAAAAAATCATGGGAAAAACTACTTGAAGCGTTCGTTACAAAAGGGAATTGCTTGATTGATTTCCCAATGAGCATACAAGAAAAGAGAACAAAAACTCTTTGGTGGTTTTACGTTTTTCAGTGTTTAACTTCATTTTCATTCTTCTTTTCAAATGACCAATAACCATAAAAAGCGGTATAATAAATTTTTTTATGTGATATTAAAAAAAATACACTGCCAGTGTACTTGGAAGTAATGCTTGATGTATCGATGTATAAACTGGTGGAATTTAAATGATATTTTTAATTTTAATCAAAATCGCAGAACTTGAATTAATCAATATCGTAAAACTTGAACTCGCATTATAATGTACAAATCAAAATGTTTTCAGACTACCATACGAATTCTTTAGAAATCTTTGGAAAAATCTCATTTGACAGGAAAATAATTTTCCTGGACGAATTTTCCAAAAAGAAAAATATCAAATCTGTGGAATGGACTCAGGAATCCGAAAAAAATGATTTCATGTTTATCAGCAATCAACCATGATTGAGTTATGCCATAAACAAAAAAATCGAAAACGATTTTAAAGCTTCAACCGTCGACTCAAAGAGACTTGAAGTCTCTACATCCTCCCATTGGTGTATACATATCTAGATACATACTCGGTGTAATTTATCAAACCGGAGTTCTCGTGAGTGACCAAACCACCATGTATTTATTCACAACATTTTTTGTTTCAAATTTTGGTGTCATCGCATCCTTGATAGAGGTTGCTTAATTGCTACTTAATATATATTTGATGATTTCAAGGTTCTAAATAATTTTTTTTAAACATGCGAACAAAATTACAGTGACAGTAAATAGTATTTGAAAATACATTATAATACATCATAGTTGATTAATTTTCTACATATGAATGGGGTAGAATAAAAACTACTTCTCAAAAAATTGGTATTTTAAAACGAAACCTAAAAAAAATTTCAATAAAAAGTGAATCAATTTTTTTTTGTCCAATTGAAGTGAATCAAGAAAATTTTGTTCAATAAAAGTGAACCAAAAAAAAAATTTCACTCGGTTTTTTCAGTGTAAAATACACTAAAATGAAATTTTTTTTTAGGTTCACTTTTATCGAACAAATTTTTTTTGGTTCACTTCAATTGGACAAAAAAAAATTGATTCACTTTTCATTGAAAGTTTTTTTTAGGTTTCGTGTTTAAACATTTTTCGAGAAGTAGTTTTTATTCTACCCCATTCATATATTCTTTTAAATACAGACAAATTTTCCGTGCTCAGCAACAAATTGACCTTGTTTTACCCGGCCTTTTTAATCTCCGTACAACCTTAGCAACAAAATTGTGATTTTTTTCAAAGTTTCTAATCGTTCAGTTGATTTCAGTTCTCTCTTGCGTACACCCGCTTTTAACAAATAAAAATTGTCATGTTTTCTTTTTCATTTGAAAACATAAAAATTTCATGGAAAAACAAAACACCTCTACAAAAATGGGGTTCCTTGCACAATTTCTACAAGGTTTTGGGAGATTGTTTGCAAATCGGTTTGTTTAGCGATAAAAAACACGGAATTATTGGATATGTTCCGCTTTTGGCAGCAATTATGCACTACTGTTTACTGGTTTATACCATATACTATTACATAAGCCGTGGCCGTTTTTTGGAGTGTCTGCTAAGCTTTTGTGTTTTTGGATTTATCATTTCAGTATGTGATATAATGAGATTCAATAATTTTTATAAAAATTAAATGTCCAAAGTCAAGTTAAGTGATTTTTTTCCTCTTTTTGTCAGGGATATTTTGCTTATTTTACAACTTTGTGGGATAAAATTTACAAATGGCACAGATTGCTTAATATTCCCAGAATATATATTTATCGTGACAATCGGCGGCCAACAAATTATAATCGAATTTGTGATGAAAGCATTGAATATTCTATTAAAGCATACGCCATAAGGATGATTGTGATGATGATTTCATTCATTGGAGCAGTTATTGGACCATTCTATCGATATCTTGACGATGGAACATTGGTTACGCTTTATTCTCTGAAATTGCCATACTTTCACAATGATTTACACACGGAATTCATGATAAATGCAATAGGGCAAACGATTGTCACCATAGTGGGCTTTTTTGGGCTGTCTCTTGTGGAAGGTGTACTCACTTTTATCAATACCACCGTTACCATTTCTTCGAGTCTGTGTCAATTGGAATTCGAAGAACTATCAGGCTGTCTCGAAAATAAATCAGAAACCATTCATAAAACACGTGAAAAACTAAAGAATATCTACATGAAAATTGCATACTTTGATGAGTAAGATCATTTCACTTTTATTCTCAGCGAATCGTATTGAATTGTTTCAAATGATTATAACAATATTATTTTTTAAAACACCTTTTGCAAAAAATCAGGTACATCGTAACTTGTAGCAATATCAATTATTGGAGACACTTTTTGGCCCCACCGTCATTTACATTTTCCATAGCCATATCGATTTATTGTCAAAAAGTGGTATGCGAAATGTTAATTAGATAGAATTTTTTCTGCAGAATATTCATTTTTTCGTTAGATGGACTTCCCGGCTGGATATGGATTGGCGGTTGTTTCTTACGTTCAAATGGCTGTCATGTGTTATATAGGACAGAGTATTGCCGATAGAGTATGTGAAAAATAATTCATTGTTGTTTAATACAAATTGTATCAAAATCTATAATTTTATTCTGTCTTTTAAATGGCATATAGAACGACCGTTTAGTCAGAGCGTTATACGACTTTAAATGGTATCTTTTACCAATAGAAGATCAAAAGGATGTGCGACATATGATTCTCCGACTTCAGAATGAGGTCTCCTTCACAATGGGACCATTTGAAGAACTAAATTTTGAAACCTTAAAAATTGTAAGACTTTTACTCCAGTTCTATATCAATTTATGTATTAATTCTTATTTGAATTTTCAGCTTAGTCGAAGGGTCTACTCGTTTTTGATGTTTTTGATCAAGTTTAAGTCGTAAAATAGAGAAACAGCTGTTGTTGCTGAAAAAAAGCCTTTACGTTGCTTTCAATTTTAATTCGCCTCAGGTGGAAAATGAATTTAATCAATATACTAACAATATAATCAATATTTTTAATTGTAACGTATGAAGAATTGTATCACCTAAGGGGAATTATCTATATGTTTATACGGTTTATACGCAAGTATTTTTTACTGAATATACTACAAATAGATGAAGACATCGCAAGTATGCCGCATATACGCTGCATATTTGCGTATAAACCACATATATACGGAGTTATTTGCAAATATTATTTGCAAATATTCTTTCGTATATGCGGTTTATATTCTTATACGCAGCATATTCGTAACTTATTTTATTCGATATTTTCCCCTAGTGTATCACATCATTAGTTGTCAATTGTATTAGTTTTACATTAGTCTGGAATTGTATGGCTCGCTGTGGAATTGAATTAAAAACATATGTTCAATGAAAACCATTTGAAAATTTTCATAAGCAAAATAACATACACTTGAACGCCGTGTGTATAAAAAATTGTGAAATGTTTATTGGCAGCATTTTGTCCATAGGCTTTTTATGTGTAATTCGCTTCCAAATGTGTCTGTATGGCATATTAGAATGGATCCTATTTCATTTCTGCAAGATATCATCTCAAAAATGTGATCTAAGGTTGGAAATAGATCAAGATAGAACATTGGCTCTTTGGACGCCCTTTCGAAAAAAAACATACCCAGAATACTCGATCGACCTTGTGAATAATAGCTCAAGTACAGAAAACTACCACATTTTCTGTATTTTCATGAATTTTCAAGCATACGTCACTAAACTCGAATTCAAGTTCTCCGATTTTGATTAAATTTAGAAATATTATTTGAATTTCACCAGTTTATACATCGATACATCTAGCATTACTTCCAAGTACACTGGCAGTGTATTGAATCAATACTATTGATATGCTCCGATTATTCATGTCTGGTTCAGTTGAAATGTTTAAGGCTACCTGCAGTTTTATATTCATTTTTCAATGGCAATAAACTATTTTAGCACCGTTAGTTTATGCTCTAAAATGAATTCCAATTTACAACAGAATATACAGTAAAATACATGAATAATGGAACCTTTATTTAGCGGAATTCGTGGGAATGGCGAAAAACTTTTTTTGACATGCGATTCCGTTATTTACGACTTTTAGTGTAGAATCGGTGTTTGTATTCTGAGCAACATTCAAAATCATTTTCATTCAAAAATTCGATCGCCTTCGCATCTATAAGTGAAACTTTTTTTTTTTTGGAAAAACGCTTTGTTTGTGAAAAAGTCCGTTACAGTGCTTTTATTTTAATTCTTATTTCCAGATTGCAACTTGCAATACAAATTTATTGCAACATTTGAAGCTAAAAATTGTTGTGGTCCTTGGATGGTATTCAAATGCGGCACGCATAATGCGGCTACTGATCAATAGAGATGCCCAAAAATGATCCAAATAAACCGCCACTGATTGCCGATTTAATATACACTTCTATTCGTTTAAATGATTTCACTTTATGATCTTCCATTTTTTTTGGTAAAACTACTCACGTCTGAATCCTTTCAAGGCATTGATGATTGTAATTTCCACAATTTCAAAAGAAAATGTCAGTCAAAAGATGACATAATGCTCATCAATGTAAATTTCAATGAATTCCGTCAATCTTCAGTTTACATCATAAATGTGGATGCGCGTCTGCGGTACTGATAGACAGACGCGTACAGTATATCGAATATATTGACTGGAAACTATTGAGATAAGACATATATTTTCTGAATTTCGTTCAAAATACCGGTGCAGTTTTCAATAATAAATTCTCCAGCCAAATCACGCTTTCATAGCACCGTTGAAAATTTAACATGCAATCAGATGTCTTCTTTTCAATGAAAAATCATTTGTTGAAAATCAAATCTCCGAAGACTCAATCAAACTCACTATTGCTCGTTTTGTTTAAACAGACACACACGCACGCATCCAACAATTTAACTTCCATTTTTTTCCCAATTTTCGACTGCTGTCCGACAAAATGTGAATGATGTTCATGTGGTTTGCATATATATTCGAACGAAATCATTGTACGAAATACTTTGAACATTAGATGCCCCATCCCATAATTGATACCTTCAGAAAATGTGAACAAAATGAAAGAAATTCCAAAATCCGATGATTATTTTGTGCGATAGCTTGCTTGTTAGCATGATAGTGCATAATTCATGAGCTGAAGGTGTTTCGTCGTTGCCACACGACGAGGCGGCGATACCGATAGAGTGCCAAAAAATTGTCGAAATTGCATTATCATGTATACGGTATCGGGTGAGTAAATCAGAAATCGCCCGAAGATGTTTCCTGTACATAGAGTTTAATCACGGTCGACTTTTGTTGCTGGAGCTCGTTGCCTGTTCATTGTCACAGTGAATTATGTAGTGGTGCACATATAGTTCCGTCTCAGACTGAGCGAAAGTGAATGAGATAGATAGAGTGAATTGTTCAGTTTGATGCGTTGTCGCAAAGGACGCATTTTACATCAGTTCACCGCAGGCTCTTAAAATATTCGCAAATGTCATTTCGTTTTACATAAAACGCACCATATATTCATTTTGTACATTTTATGGCCGAAGCTCAAACAAGAATTCCCGAACACCAACAACAATCGAGACAACGACTGCCACAAATGCAAAAATGGGAATAAGAAAATCAGAATCAAACAGGCATAAGCAAAAATGTACAAATACACATACAAGGGCCAGAGAGATACATCTATTTGAATGCGGATCACAAATGCTTCCGGAACAAATACAATTTGGTAGCTATACACTAAAAGTGGACTTATCGCACGTGTACATTTCCGAAAAGTAGCTGTTAGATAAAATGAAAGAGATATGAAAATCGTTGATATCGCAACAATTCGAAGCAATGTGAACAACATGCCGATACAGATACGCTTTTACACATACAACAATGGCTTCAGAGCATCGGTAGCAGCATCAACAGCAGATGCTGCATATCGAAAACAAGATCCAAAGTGCCACAGTGCTACAGCGACAAATTTTATTACATAATTTTATCTTCATGTATCAAGTATTTATATAAATTGCTTGAAGACATGCTATAAAGCGGCCAAATAAAAAAAGAGCAAAATACAAAACATCGCAAAGAACCATTCACCAACAACAAAAACTGTGTGATGATGATGCTTATTTCGTGCACTGCAATTATCGAGAGACAAATACAGAAAAATGGGGATGGTTTTGCAAAGATACACTCACTTACAATATTCAGAAATGAAGAACAGAAATGGAGGGAGGGAAAAAACCAGAGCACCGTTGACTGATTTAAGAAAATGTTGAGGCGACACGGCAAAACGTAAACTGGCATAAAATTAAGGATTTCAGTCATTCGACCAGGTTCATTTCGAATAATACTAACGCCAAATGTCAACAAAAGTTAGTCGACATCGCTTTCGCTGAAAATAAGCTTGTCTCTTCCCATACACACAATGTATAGATTACACGCACGCCGTTTTTTTCTTGACAAGAAAAACAAAAATCTCGAGCAAAAACCATTGCACTACTGTGTGCACATTTCTTTTTTTTTATAAAGCGTATTTCTTGTTCAGAGTCGGACAAGCGTGAAATTGAACTTTAAATATAAAATGGAACATACGGCTATGTGTAATACAGAAAAATTGCAGAAAAAAAGGAAAACAAAACAAAAGAAGCCGTAAGCACGTGGGCTTAATATCTGTACGTAATAAGATGTCGTAGAAACTAAAGAAATGATATAAACTTAATTACATGACATGCGGCTGATTCTGGACGTTGCCGAGTTCCCGTTTCTGTGTGGTAATTGCACGACTGTTTACAATTACAATTCTACATGTAATTCTTGCAATTTTATTACATTTTAATTAATGGTGAATGCAGCTCAATTCAACGGCATCATAAAAAAGCATAGAGTAGTGTCAAATCTGAAAATGTTATTTCGGATGTTTTAAAAACAAACAAAAGATGCAACTTCAACAAACTTTTGAGAAGTAAAAAAATGGAATAAACCGACCAAATACATTAATTCTTTTTTAAAGCAAGCCGTTTTTCATGTGATGAAAGAAACTAAAAAAAGTGTATATCATTCAGTTAAAAGCAAAAACAGCTGCAAGTCTTTTTTGATGAATTGTTAAAAAACGGCTGTCAATTTTCCGTTGCCGTTTTTTTACTCGGCCGACGCAATTTCTCCATTCGAATGTTTTAAAGTTTGCTTTCACAAACTCAAGCCAAACAAAAACATTTTAAACTTTTGCAACAAATTTTTTGTCTCATCTTTCAAAGCCCATTTCATTTTTTTTTTGTTAAAAAGATTGAGAACAGCATCGGTAAAAACTTGGCTCAACAAGGGGAATGAACAACACTAATCTGTGCAATGATACAATGCTCCGTGCATTTCACAAGTATTATTTCGAATCCATTAAGTTGTTGCGGAGCACACACATTTCAAAACACACAAATCCATAAAACACAGAGAAGAATTAAATTAATTTTCGTTGTTTTTCTGCTTATGCGCGCCGCACAGCTACAATCCAAGCAATCCAAGTGTGGGGCATGTGAAAATGACCAGTTGCGATGATTCTTTGTAAATGTGTAATGATGAATTTTCAGCTTTATACTTGCTCTTTTCAACAATTTTATGTATCTAGCGCCGGCGAAAAAAAAGTTTATTTGTCAAAAATGCAATGGACAAAAATAAATTTAATTTTTAAATAAACTTTGTTGGATTCTGTTTCCTTTTAGGATTTTTTTCGCTTTGCACAAATAGATTCAACTTCTTGGCGTTTTTTATGCAACTATAAGAAAATGCACTTAGATGTGCCGTGCCGCTTCTCTTCACACAGCTGTCCATGTGACCCTTTTCGTAAATTTTTAAACATTTCACTCGAAAAAATGATTCCAAATGCGAATAACTGCACTGAACAGAAGGT